ACACAGCGAGCGAGTCGTGAAGATAAACGAGCGATCAGATTTCAAAGTCAAGCTCAAGGACGCTGCCGGCCAACAGCCAGCAACAACAACCGATGCCACGACTTCCGTTTCGCTACACACGGCTGCAGGGTTTAAGCTCCACCCACCCACCTTTCCCCCCCACCCACCTTCCCCCCCCACACCCACCTTTCCCCCCCCACCCCAACTTTCCCCCCCACACGCCACTTTCAATTCCCACCCACCCACCTTTCCCCCCACCCACCCTTTCCCCCCACCACCTTTCCCCCCCACGCCACCTTTCCCCCCCACCCACCTTTCCCCCCCACCCACCGTTCCCCCCCACCCCCCGTTCCCCCCCCCCCAACCTTTCCCCCCCCACCCACCTTCCCCCCCCCCACCCACCTTTCCCGCCACCACCCACCTTTCCCACCCCACCCAAGCTTTCCCCCCCAACCACCTTCCCCCCCCCACCACCTTTCCCCCCCCCCACCCACCTTTCCCCCCCCCAACCCCACCTTTCCCCCCCCCCACCCACCTTTCCCCACCCCCCACCCACCTTTCCCCCCCCACCCCTTTCCACCCCCACCCACCTTTACCCCCCCAGCCCACTTTCCCAACCCCACCCCATGTCCCCCCCCCCACCCACCTTTCCCCCCACCCCCTTCCCCCCCCACCCACCTTCCCCCCACCCCCCACCTTCCCCCCCCAGCCCACCTTTCCCCCCCACCCACCTTTCCCCCCCACCCACCTTTCCCCCCCCACCCACCTTTCCCCCCCACCCACCTTTCCCCCCCACCCACCTTTCCCCCCCACCCACCTTTCCCCCCCACCCACCTTTCCCCCCCACCCACCCACATTTTCCCCCACACCGACCTTTCCTCCCCCACCCACCTTCCCTCCCCCCACCCACCGTTCCCCCCCCACCTTTACCCCCCACCCACTTTCCCCACCCACCTTTCCCCCCCCCACCCACCTTTTCCCCGCAACCACTTTCCTCCTTCCACTCACCTTTCCCCCCCCCACCTTCCTCCCCACCCTCCTTTCCCACCCACCTTCCCCTCCCCCCCTTCTCCCCCCACCCACCCACATTTCCCCCCACACCTACCTTTCCCCCCACACCCACCATCCCTCCCCCCACCCACCGTCCCCCCCACCCACCTTTACCCCCCCCACCTTCCCCCCCACCCCACACTCCCCACCCACGTGCGTCCGTGTCCCGCGGGAGATGAGAGTGGCACCGCGGGGTTCGAGATGAGATTGGCGACGCGTTCACCGCGTCCTCTGCATCGCGAGACGCTCCGGCAAGTCAGACGCCACGCCAGACGTGCGTGCCAAGTGTCAATCGGGTCACGGAAAAGAAGTGGTCACGCGCGCGCGTGCGTCCACGAATTGTAAGACGCGCACTCCAACTTTTATTTTGAAAATCAAGTCGGGGCGGGGGGGGGGACGTTTTGTAATCCGGATAATTCGGCACATGACACGGGGAGCAGACGGGTCGTTTTTTGTCTTTTTTTTTGTACCGATGTCGGAACTCACGTGACGACTCGCGTCGGATAAACATTGCTCTCAACGAATCATGCGCATGCACAACAAAAGTCACAATGTGAGCGAGGTTTCAATGCGAATAAAATTAGCGCGCATTCCTCGTTGAGCAGTCCGCTAATGGGCGAAGGTCTCCTCCCCACGCCGGATCAGTCACGTGCCTCCCTCTCTAAGGACGGGTTCGTGGCGTTGATCGCATCGCATTGCGGCCCTTGAAATATCGAAGCGGGTTTTTTTTATTTTTTTAAACCGAATTCGAACTCGGGTCGCCGGGTTCGTGCCAACCGCTACACTCCTCGTGTCGGGCAACCTCAACACGTAAGGGGCCGTCCATAAATGACGTCACGCGATTTTGGACGATTTTTGACCCTCCCCCCCCGCCCTCGTCACACGGCGTCACAAAAAGTCAGACCCCCCTCAAATATGACGTCACAAAGCTCTGCCCCCCCCCCCCAAAACCATATTTCCATTTTGAAAATAAAACATGCTTCAAATCGCTTGAACTATTGCCATTGTAGTGCGTATTTAATGTGGCGCTGCACTCTGATGTTGTAGGAGTGTTGTTATAACGATTAGTGTTGTTATAACAATTCTATATTTATTTAAAGTTGCGCATTTTGATGCGACGTCACATTTCTCAAACCCCCCTCCCTCGTCACACATCGTCACAAATGTCTGACCCCCCCCCCCCCTAGGTGCGTGACGTCATTTATGGACGGCCCCTTACCTATGGGCACAGGTACATGTCTGAAACATAAGACCAGTGTATACGGGCCCTTCAAGCTGGTAACCCTCTATACCTATGTAAATTCACGTGCGCTGCTCGGTCAACATTTATATGCCCAGACGAAGATCCCCCCCCCCCCCCCCGTATAGTCTGAACAGACTGTTGGGGCAAGTGCTGTTTACCAAGCACCTATGAAGGCCGGCACGGCACACGAGGGGGTGGTGTGGCCATTACCTCGCCCAGATACTCATTTGACGCTGAGTCGACCTAGGGGAGGCCTAGGACCACTTAAGATATTCGTCACTGGGTGCTGGCCGTGAGCGGGAATCGAACCCGGGTCGTCAGGTTCGTAGCGCAGCCGCGCTACCGCTCACCACATATACACAGACACACGCACACACCGACATTTGCATATCATCAATGTCTAGCATAGCCTGTGATCAAATCACCCGTAATGTGTCCGATTTCGTCGGATGTCGCAAGTGAAAAAGGTTTTAGCCTGAACAGTGTTTAAACAAACAAACAAAAAAATCACCGTTGCTTAAATGAGCACAGGCCCAAAATCCCCAATGATGCCAAGCGACCAGCAACAAACAGCACCGCTCAAGATGTAATATATAAGATTTTTTTTTCTATTTTTACCAGTTAAGGCCCACTGAGCTATAGAGCTATTTTCCAAAAGTTGATGTGGCCACCAATAATAGCTCAACAAAGTGGCTTATCACGAGCACACATATATAGCAGCCAAACACCCTGAACGCATGTTGATTCTAAATGTGGAGGGGAAAACCCGGAGGACCCGGAGAAAAATCCACGCGACCACGGGGAGAGAGACACGCAAACTACAAAAAAGACAGGCGTCAGGGTCGGGATCGAACCCACGTCCTCCTGCAAACCAGGCGAGGCAGTTAACATCTCACCTCGTGGTAGTTAATTTTGTCCCCTGGAAGCCTTGGGGGGAGTGAGTGGTGCGTGTGAAGACTCGCTACGAACCCGGCACCACAGAGTTCGGTTCACCGTTCACGGCTGAACTGCTCCTGGGCCTCCCCTAGGTCGTGTCAGCCTCAAATGAGTAGCTGGTGCGGTGTGTAAACATCGTCGCCACTCGCGTGCCGTTGCTGGCCTTCACGGGGGGTGCTACTCGCTTACGGCGTTTGCCCCAACAGGCTATTAGGGGGATATTTGTCTGTTTTTTGTGAGACAGAGAGGGTGGGGATGAGGAGACATGATCTGTTCAGATACACATCGCCACTGATTTTAGCTGCAGCCCGCAATCAAACTCAGATCGCCTGTACCCGCAGTCGTTTGTTTACGATGGACGGGTGGACTTTGGATGGCGTGCAATCACCACGATTCCTCGCTTCGCTTTGTCCACACAAGCAACTGCTGCAGGGCAGTTTGGTACTCCCTCAATATGGCTTCTCGTCTCGCAGATGGCAGTGAGGCGGTGAGCTCCGAGCTCTTTCACACGAAACGTTTATACCCGGGCTCCCGGGGTCGGATTTATGCTCGGTCTGATTCTGATTCTGGATTGTGGCCCTGTCAACAACAACACCCCCCCCCCCCCACCCTACATTAAGAAAGGGGAATGTGTTTATCAACACGTTGGTGTATTTACGGTCATCTTCGCAAACAGCAGCGGCTTTTGGCTCAGCCATCGGACTAAGGCGGCGGTCACCGCATCGCGCGCTGTCAAATGCGCTTCTGCGGCCGTCTGGAACGCTCTTCCTCACGATATTAGGACGCCACTGGAGTTGTGCGTTTTAAAATAATTTAGATTGAAAACTAATTTCTTTAGAACCGCTGTTTGTGTTGAGTGTGTTGTCCTTCCACACGCACCTCCGATTAGCACGGTTGGCTACGTACGGTGCGAAAGAAGTCCGGCACACTTACATAGTGCACTTCCCATCCCTTGCACTTGTTTAGTTAGTTCACGAGCTATACGCAGAACGCCAACAACACGTATCTCGAGAAATCAACAAAAATCAGCGATCAATCATCGCTGCGTCTGCACCTGCACGCGCGTGCGCGTGACAGCCAGTAGGACATGCCCAGTAGCGAGCGTGTACAAGGAGATCTTGTACTGGGGGGAGGGGTGTTGCATCATGCGCCAGTCACGTATATCGAGACCCCTTATCTGCCCGTGTTCGACGGACGCTGCCTATCTTGTCTGAAATCAATGTCTAAGCCGACGGGGGGAGATAAATAAAAAGACGATTTTTTAAATACACGTCAGTGCCAACGGACAGGACCCTACACGCGCCAGCGTATTCGTACGACTGTTGCCCAATATAAACTTGATGTTGGCAATTGACGACTCATCAACATGTAGACGCGCGCGTGAAAGATTCCACTGATGTGCGTGTGTGCGCGCGCGTGTGATTCATTGCCGGTGCCCCGATGTTATCATCCGTCACGAAGGCGCTCACAGCAGCGCGATTGTGCTCAAGTTTGTCTGTCCCCCCCGGATTCCTTCTGCGACTCTCACTCGCAAACCTTTGAAAGCCACGACGACACGGGGTTGGTGGAAAGACGGCGCCCGGAGAGCCCCAATGATTATAGCCTACGTGTTGTGTCATATAGATTTATTGGGATATTTCATTTCGCGGTATCCAGCGATGAATCACAAAACAACAGTGCCGTAGAGCGTCAATACAACCAAGAACGATGTACAGCCCTCTATACATCCACTGCTGGATGATGGCCATCTGGTCATGGTTTTTTTTTATCACAGAGTCACAGTAGCATTTTTATTTCAAAAATGGTCTCTCTCCTCCCCTGCTCAAACAACTTTCGTGGCGCGGGAACAAAAACCAGCGCAGGCGACCTTGAACCAGCGGTGGAAATTCCTCGTTTTCATGGCAGGGAGGGAAGTGTCTGCAACGATGAAGATTGTAGGTCATGATACGCGTGGTTTGTGCGGTTTTCGACTGCGGTTAAGACCCTAATTATCATCTAAGACTAAATCACATTGGATGCCCTGAACCATATCATATCTCAGAAGCTAAGCAAGCATGTGTCTGGTTAGTTATTTGGATGAGAGATTTGCTGGTGCTCACCAATGTTGAAGGCTTCAGGTTGGCCAAATGCTGGCAGTAGACCAATGGCTTTTTAAATCAATCCGTGCGGAGCTTTGAGTGTTTTTTTCTCTCTCCTGGCACTCCAGTTTCATCCCATATGCCGAACATCCCACTTGCAGGACCTTCCTTAAAGATATTCTAGAGTCTCAGTGAGGCTTTCCTGGGTAAATGCAGGTCATACCTTGCTGATCTCGTTAAGGAGCATCAACAATCACGAGAACTCCAGTCCTCCTCGCAGCGGTTCTTGACTGGCCATCGAACAAAGACGGTCACCGCATCGAGCGGGTTCAGATGTGCTTCTGCGGCCGTCTGGAACGCTCTTCCTTACGATTTTCGGAAGCCACTGGAGCTATGCACTTCAAAATCTGAATTTATAACTAATTTCTTAAGAACTGCTTTTTGTGTTTGAGTTTGTTGTCCATCCCGTGCGCCTCCGACTAGCACGATTGGCTACGTACGGTGCGAAAGAAATTCAACATACATTATTACTGCTATTATAACTCACGGTACGGACTGGTAAAGCGACTTCAACCACATGGCACAAGTCCCCAACTGCATCAGTCAGGACAGAGTCAAGGAATGGAGAGCGACTGCCGACTTTGCGGTCAACCGTGCGGGAATATGCGTAGAATGCGCTGTGTTCTCTCTGCGTCGTACAAAAGACAAAGATCCCCCTTTTTGTAGATGAACAGAGATTTGTTTGGGTCGTGTGGCACAGAACCTTGACCAGCTCACGTTGTCTCCCCAGAGCTGATGTCTACACATTGCACCAGGCACTCGCTTAAAGGCTGAGTCTACTTACAAGAGGCACAGTACAGGTTGGGATATTCTCCAGCCGTGGCGCATACTGCGCTACCCGCAACGCTGCTACTCACACAAAGACAAAGACTCCCCGTATAGCCTTAGCAGACTGTAGGGGCAAGTGCTGTTAGCGAGCACCTATAAAGGCCGCAACGGTACACGAGGGGGTGGGTGGCCAGCACCACGCCCGGCCGCCTTTGTCTCCCTCCTGGCGATATTTACACACCGCACCAGGTACTCATTGGAGGCTGATTCAACCTAGGGGATGCCCAGGACCGGTTCAGATAATAATCACTGGTGTTGGTGGCGGTGAACGGGAATCTAACTCGGACAGCCGGTTTCGTAACGTAGTGCGCTAACCATTACGCCACACACGCCCAGATACGTACACCCTGGAGCTCTGCCGAGTATAGTACTAACTAATCACACATTTCACAAGCCGTACGCAACGTTTTGCCCTGCGGCAGTTTATAGTTTTATGGCTATTAAACGTACAGCGCACGTGGGGACATCACCAGCAATCATTTATAAGGGACAATCGTTTATCTAAAGATTAGATATTTCGTGCACATTTACAATCATTTGGCAGTTTATCTCGATGCTAAGTTGTATTCTTTTTTTACAAATAGTGCTACGTGTTACGTTTGCGTCCAATTTTTTTAAAGAAACCTTCACGTCTATAATGGCTATATATATTCAAGTACCTGTACAGCGACAACCCTGTCAATTATTTTAATCCATTTGTACATGCATTCAGAGTGCATAACCCTAATCGCGTACTTCCGTCATCGATAATTATCAACGCTGCGGTGCCTTTTGTCAGCATGGCCAGCAGGAATACATTTATACGAAAGGCGAAGAACAAGAGGAGAGAGGGAAATTAATCAGTGCGCTTGCATTTTCGTTTGTGACCTGAAATAAATACAAAACAGGCGCCCATGCGGGTCGTTGGGGTTATTTGACCCCACACCGAAGGCGGGTGGGAGGCAGAGGTCGCAACCGGGTACCCGATACCCGTACCCTACCCGATACCCGGCTACCCGTACCCGGCTGGGTACGGGTAGCCGTTTGCGACCCTGGTGCGGCCGAGTAAGGGTACGGGTAAGGAATCAAAACCCGCTTGCGACCTCTGCCCCACACCGAAGGCGGGTGGGAGGTTGGCGGGGAAGGCATAGACGTGGAAGCATAGAACTGCAGTACAACAACGGACTCTGCTGTGATGCCCGTAGCTGATCGACACGTAACCCAGCAGCCGCATGTCACACGCCTCGCTGTGCAAAGAAAGCGTTGCGCATCCGAAGCTCTATCCGGATGACTGGTTCCGAGCCCTGCTTGGCTGGGCAGAGAGATGGGGGTGGCATGCCAGGCGATTTGATCGCACAAACACGCTTTTAGGGTATTTGGCTGCTGTACATTTTCACGCGATAAGCCACTTCGCTGAGCTTTCATTTGTGGCAAGGTCGCTTCTGAAAAATGACGAATAGCTCAGTGGTCTTTACCTGGTGAAAAAAAAGTTTCAGTTTATCTATTTTTTTGATGATTTGCTTACCTTTCCTATACTTTGCGATTCTATCGTTTTTTAAAATTTGTTTTTGTAACTTTTTGACCCGCCCCTACTGGACATCCGCGAGCTTTATAGCTCAACTGGTTCCTCCGGCATAAATAAAGATTCTGATTCTGAAAATAGTATACCGTGTAGAGAAAGGCACTCCACTGTTCCTTCTCATCCAATGGAATGCTACAGAAACACAGCGTACACGTAGGAGGTCAAGTTTAAAAAAAAATCAAAGTAAATCAAAGGGAAAACTATAAAAGTGTCGACGACAATGCCGAAGCAGTGCTTATTGTCGTTCAGTAGAGACAGCAGCGGCGACAGTTCTTACACGAGATATTACTCATTAGAAAAATATAAGTCAATCAGAGGCAGACTTTACGTGACTTGCATAAGAAATTATCCTTCGTGATGATAATCTTGATGATGAATTCGTACGGGAAAATGGCGACATTTCGCTGGATAGATGTTAAGCCCTTTGATATCCGGGCAAGAGTTTATTCTTGATGACGCGCGAAGCAGTCCAAAGACGTCCAGCGGCATCCACTCGTTCACTCGTTCCCCTCCTACACCTGCGCCACCGCTTTATCATCATCATCATCATCGACGACGTCATAATCAGCCGTGCTCAATCCACTGCTGGACGAAGACCTCTCCAAGCCCGACGCCATCTTCAGCAATACCCACGATGCAATAACGATCCACCCCGCACACGAGCTCCTTCCATCGCTCCATCTTCTCCCCTTGGTCGTCCTTTCCGACACGTTCCGTTCCAATCCTTGGCTGCCACTTCCGTCTTTATTTTCGCCCACTCGGCCATCAGCCGCCCCACCAGTGGTGTGCCCTTCTCAAAAACCCACTACATTTGTCTGATCTCTCTCTCTCTAAACAGTCAACATTTACGCCTTTAATAAACTCTCGTACGTTCTACTAATCTCGTCTCTACGCCTCGCCGCGTCTCAAATCTCGCAGCGTAAATTTCCGAGATGGCAACGAGGAGCAAATTGGACCGGGCGAACGGACGCGCAGCTCAGAAGTGGCAGAAGTGCCCATTGGGGTAGAGGTACTCGCTGGCCGAGTGCGAGTGCGCGAAACGGCTCCACGGGCTTGTAGGGAGACGGCTCCTTCCCGTACTGAGCCTCGCACCGGCCCGGCCCGGTGGTACCGACGCCGCCAGGCACCGCCGCCGCAGCCGCAGCCGCGTAGGGTGCCGGGTATCCGTGCAGGAAGGGCGCCGGTTGCTCCTTGGAGAACATGAACTCGGGGTACACCTTGGGGTAGTAGTCGGCGCACGGGTGCTGCACGTTGAACACGCCGTCGCCGTAGGGCAAGTGCGCGTGGTACGCCACCTTGGTGGTCGTCGTGATCACGGCCTGCACGGACGCCGGCGAGCCAGGAGGCCCCGCGGAGCCGACGATCCGGCACGGGACGACGCCGCCGCCGCCGCTGCCGCCACCCAGGGTGGCCGCATGTCCCGAATTCTCTCCGGCCCCAGCCTCGTCCTGGGAGCCGTGGTGAGCCCCGTGGTCAAGGTATGGAAATCCCGCGCGTTCCTTCCCAGCGCCCCTGCTGTGTTCGGCCGGGTTGTAGGGCAGCGCGCAGCCCTTGTCGTGCAGGGAGTAGTCGCCGCCGGGAGGGGTTCGCATCGGGCCCGGGTAGGAGGAGGGCTGCCGGTAGATGGGGAGGCCCGGGAGGCTGTAGACGGCCCCCAACGCGGCGCTCGTGGGCAGCTCGTGGGCTCGCTCGTCCTTGCGCTCGAGCTGGGAGGCGTGCGGCTCCAGCTTGAAGGGGAGCTCCGGGGCGCAGGTGGAGCTCAAGCTCGCGAGGGAGTCCTTGTCGTCCTGTTAGAGGGGGCGCCACGGGTGAGTGGGGCAGGGAGTTAAATGATGGGTGGGGCAGGGAGTGAGAAGGTACCAGGGGTGAGTGGGGCTGGGAGTGAAAGGCTGAGTGGGGCAGGGAGTTAAATGATGGGTGGGGCAGGAAAGTGACAAGGCACCGAGGGTGAGTGGGGCAGGGAGTGAAAGGGTGAGTGGGTGAGTTTGCGAATTAAAGTCGCGAGCGCCTTGACGAGTGAGTGAGTGAGCGAGCGAGTCAATCGCTGGGTGAGTGCAGGGCCGGATTAAGGCACGGGGCTTTAGGGGCCGCAGAGATGAAGTGAAAAGTGATTTAAATTGTGCATGCTGAATTTTATTTGTTGTTAGCCTTGTATTTTTTTTCATTTTCTTTAACTTTGTTTTCCTTTTGAAAATATTACTGGAGGGGGGGGGGGCCTTCCACCCAGGGGGGCCTACACAATCTCAACCCGGCCCTGGGTGAGTGAGGAGTGAGGAGGAGGAGTCGAGGGCGTCGGCCCCCTCTCTCACCTCCGCCGTGCGTTTCTTGCGCACGGGACCCCCCTCCACGTGCTGACCCTGCCTCTTGGCCGTGCTGCGACGAGAGTCCGCCTCGCTCTTGCTCTCGGGCCGCGCGTGGTCGTGCAAGCCCTTGGCCTGCACGCACACACGAGAGGGGGGGCGGGGGGCTTGTTTGTGGACGCCTCTGGTGGCCCCCAGCTTTCTCCGGAAGCCAGACGAGCAGTGGATTGTATATGTGTGTATGTGTGTGTATGTGCCATCTCGGGCGGAGCACCGGGTGGCTAAGGCACAGCAAGTTGGTACAGTAGGGGGCACAGGTGGTGCATCAGCCAGTCATCTCGGTCATCTCGGTCAGTCGACCCGTGGCACCTGGGTCTGCCCCGTGACCTCCTGCCAGCGGGCGTTCGACACTTCACGTGGCCTCAAGGTGCACATGGCCTGGCACAAGCGTCGTGGTGACGTCACCGCCACTTAGTGGCGAATGGCGGTTGTTGTTGTTGTGTATGTGTGGGGAGACAAAGGCGATCGGGCGTGGTGCTGGCCATCCACCCTCTCGTGTACCGTTCCGGCCTTCATAGGTACCCGCTAACAGCACTTGCCCCTATAGTCTGTTAAGGCTATACGGGGGATCTTTGTTTTTGTATGTGTGATTGTGGGGAGCGGTAGCGTAGCGGTTAGCGTGCTGCGCTATGAACCCGGCGACACGGGTTCGATTCTCGCTCACGGCCAACACCAGCGACGATTATCTGAACCGGTCCTGGGCCTCCCCTAGGTCGACTAAGTACCTGGTGCGGTGTGTAAACATCGCCACTGGGGAGACAAAGGCGGTCGGGCGTGGTGCTGGTCACCCACCCCCTCGTGTACCGTTCTGGCCTTCATAGGTGCTCGCTAACAGCACTTGCCCCTACAGTCTGTTAAGGCTATATGAGGGATCTTTGTCTTTGTTACGTATGATTGTATGTGTGTGTATGTTAAGCTACCTTTTGCAGCATACGTAGCCAACCGTGCTAATCGGAGGTGCAGGTGGAAGGTCAACAAACCGAGCACAGAAAGCAGTTCTAAAAAAATAACATTTTCAATCATGGAGTAGGGAAGTGTTGCTAATCCAGCATTGGTTGACACAGGGCTCTAAGTTGTAATTTAAATTATTTCAATATAGCCATGTAAGCTCATTGGTGTTTGGCGATTGTGTTATTTGCAATTCCTCATTGAGGGATGCAAAGTATGTGTAGTCATTGTGCAGGCACGCGTAACATCTCAAGTGTGGATTAAATATATACCGGACATCTGTGCAAAAAGAGCTTCATAGCTCATCGGATTCCTTCAGTGTAAATAAACACTCTAGCCCTGAAATATCACGTCCATACGGCGGAGACTGTGGGTAGTTCTCTTGCCTGGAAGAAGATCATCTGGTCCTCCTGCCGCCAGAAGTTGGTGACCGGGTATCCACTGTGACCCCGGCACGCGACTAACTCCAGTCCCGCTCCGCAGTTGGGGCACGCTTTGCCTGCGCACAGAGACGGACGATTCCCCTTAAAGCCTCTCTCCAGACTGTTGGGGCGAGCGCTGTTAGCGAGCGCCTATGAAGGCAACACAGACACACACATTGCACAGCCTCTGCCCCCATTGCCGCTGCCTCTCATCAGCTGAACCCGCTGCTCGTTGGCTGAGACCGCTTCGGGCAGAACCTTTCGGCGGCAAGGTGACAATGCGATGGGTCGAACGTCTCCCCAACAGCAGGCGCGTGCTCACGGACCTAGGCTAGAGCAGGATTGAGCCGAGACTATGCTTTGATGTATACCAGGTGCTATGGGGGTGGCACTGGACTACACTGCGAGCAGAATTCACCATTGTGCTGTAGTTCTATGCTCCTGCTGCCTTCACCAACCGGCAACTGACCGGCATGGTGAGGCATGGACAAATCATCTTCGTATTGGACAAACCTGGACCCAGCTGGGTAAGTGTAATAAAGAGCTCTCGGTGTTTTTAAAAAAATACAAACACAATGCCGCATTTTCTACATTGCTGCGTTATAACGTGCGCAATTGGATGTATGTAATGCTGCCAGGGCCTCCGTCATTTAAAGGGACAGCTCTCGTCAACAGCGTCCATTAAACAAACATCAATGAGCGACCCAGACTCTTGTCATTGACACGGATGCAAAAAAAACTGGCCCACAATACGTGACCAACAAAGCCGAGAAACTAAACGGATGTTGAAATGTATATGGGGTATGGAATGGAGGTTCATTTATCTACTCGCCTTTTGCCCAGCCAAAACGGGTGTGTTGCAGTAAATCTGAAACTTGCAAGCGAAAAGCAGACCGCGACGTGATATTCATTGCATCAATTCGTGTGCAGTTTGTAAGGCCGCGGTGACACAGAGTTATTTAATGTGAAGGTTATAATCCTTTGTTCATCATGACGTCCTTTTTACTTTGATGTCTCAACAGCATTACGGAGATCGCGTGACGTGAGGGTTCTGCCTTTGTAGTGAGGGTTGTGAGTTGACGCCGAGGAGGGGGGAGGAGGCGCCTCGCCCCCCCCATGTGGAGTGACGTCAGCCGCTAATTATTATGAATGAGGGGGGGGGGTGTCCATTTGGAGGACGTCACCTGTTCATGATTATTAATGAGGGGGGGGGGGCGTTCTCCATGTGGAGTGACGTCAGCCGCTCATGATTATTAATTAGGGGGGAGGTCCATGTGGAGGACGTCACCTGTTCATGATTATTAATGATGAGGGCTGGTCGACGTGGAGTGACGTCACGCGCGGGACACACAGACATTCTTGGCTCATTATAGCAGTAAATACCTGTGTTTTTTGTTTGTTTGGGGGTGGGGTGGGTTATACAGTTTCAATCGAGTAAATTGACCAGCATGAGCCAGCCGTACGCACCTGCACGGCAATAGTCAGCGGGAAGTGGACGCCAATGCCTCGCCACACGTGACTCTCCAGCGGTGTAGTGACGACATTGTCAGCTCAGGTGGGTGCGGCAATCGGTCAGATGGGGCCCCAATATTTGATTTGTCTCGCACGGTCGCACCCAGGCTATTCTATATCGAGGCTCTTCTTGCCTAATCACATCATCGTTATGCTCACGGTCTCGAACATTTTAACGCTGTAGGCGCGGTGCGTTTTAAATACGGTTGCGAGATGTTAACTACCTCGCCTGGTATACAGGAAGTCGTGAGTTCGATCCCGACCCCGATGCCTGCATATTGGGAGTTTGCGTGTCTCTTTTTTTGTTAATTTTATTTATGTTTTTTTTCTCTCTCTCCCCGTAGTCGCGTGAATGTTTCTCCAGGTACTCCGGGGGTTCCCCTCCGTATTTAGAAACACGCTTTTAGAATATTCGGCTGTCACTTTGTTGAGCTATTATTTGTTACCAGTTCGCTTGTGAAAAAGAGCTATATAGCTCAATGGGCCTTACCTGGTAAAATAAATAAGAAAAAATCGTTTAGTTTTAGTATGCAGTGCCATTTTTATGTTTAATACTATATTGCTTTGGAGAAATATTTTTTTTTAAGTAGTGGGTGAAACGTCTGAGCCATGGGCAGAGTTTGGGGGGGGGGCACGGGGGGGGCAATGCCCCCACAAATTGAACACCTCAATTAACTTATTTAAATTATACTTTACAATTAAGATCACAAATAAATAAATGACATCTAACAGCGATTCCTAACGTGAGGGACAAAGCGGACCCCTGCCCGCACCACCAAAAAAAAATCTAGAATTCAAACTCCGTCTATGAGTCTTAGCCCACGCGGTGCTTGCTGGCTGGCTGCCTTGTTCACAAACGCGTCCGCCGTCGCAAAGCGCCACCCACCTTGCTGCTTCTGGCGCGCCTTCTCGCAGATGGCCGGCCGCTGGTAGAGCTTGCGGCCGTCGGGAAGAGTGCAGGAGCGGCCGCACAGCACCACCCCGAGGCAGGACTTCTTGAGGATGGCGCAGTTGTGGTTGTTGGTGTTGCGCATGGCCCAACCGCTCTGATGCTTCTGCGCGCTGCGCTCCGTCGCGCTGTACACGAGGCGGGCGTATCCGTCAGGCCACTCCTGGAATGAGTCCAGCACCTCCACCTGTGTGGGTGGGGTTGGAGGTCAACGTGGTGCTCGGAGCCGCTGCGCTACGAACCCGGTGAGCACGAGTTCGATTCCTGCTCACGGCCAACAACGCCCAGTGACGATCATCTGAACCGGTCCTGGGCCTCGCAAACAGAATAAAGATGTATACGCCCCTCATATGTTACACCTATGACGAAATCGATCTTGTAAATCAATATTGTACGATCTCCTTTAGCCTGGGCACTGCTTGGATGGGTGATCACTATGCATTGCTGGGCTATTGTTGTGGGCAGCAGAGGGCAATCCAGAAAAAAATATTCATTGCTCAACGGTGCTTCCCTGATCCCACGTCCATGCTGCCCAGCTCCACAAATCCACAGTGACCGGCGTGGTGAAGTATGCTCAAAATTAGTTCCACGGACCAGCCCGGCGCGTGGAGGCATTCATCTAACAGTAGGTTAGCAAAAAAGAGGGCTCTCTCTCTCTACATGTCCGTATGTAATCAGAGGATTAAATTCTGCACGGCAATATCGGCTGCTCCGTGCGTGTAGGTCGTCAATCCGATCAGCTATGGCGACTCGTCACCTGCTCAGAGCTCCGTGATCTGACGATGTCTGGCGCATTCCGAGCGACAGGCGCAATGTACGATAGTGTACATACTATACTGCACACGAATAAAGCAAGATCAATCGATGATCATAAATCGATACCGCAATCCCCGGATTTTAAGACGCAATTATTGCCCATGAGCACAAGTTGGATGTGCGTCTTATAATCCGGTTTGTGTGCGTTCGTGTAACCAGTTTTGTATAAATTTCGATTTAACGCTTTCGTGACTGCAGGGATTCATATTATTGGTTCTTTCGGTAAAGTTACGTAGAAGGGAAATAATAAAATAATAAAAATCAAACATAATTAAATAAAATTCTCACGACGTTTCGGCCACAACGCAAGCAGCCGTCCTCAGGTGAAGAAACAGAGCTGTCGGAAAGACAGCGTCCTAATGAAGACTGCTAAGCTTGGCAGCGTATTTTAAGCTGGGTGGGAGGAGGAGAGCGCCTTGACAAATGAGTTTACATATCAAAAGAGGAATTTCGCATATTGATGACAAATTCAGATATGGGATTAGAAATGACTAATCCCATATCTGCAGTTTTGTATACACCTTTTATTTTACACCCGGGCATACGTTTTTGGGATGCATCTTACTTTCAGGAACACACCTCTAATCCGGACAATGCGGTATTTACATACATGTATATATTTGTTTGAACGTTGCAACAATAACAATTATTGCATATTACCCGCTCTCCATTGGCTCCGAGCCTTATCCAGACACCGCGCGCTCATTACACGCCACGTATTTGAAGACGTCATTCAAAGTGCATGTTAATCTTGTTTGTGTAGCGATACCTGGGGCAGTTTGGAGTCATTGATGTCCCACTGCGCTTGATTTCTCGGATGACTCGAGGAAGCGCCGGTCATTTCTGACATTTTCATTTTATTATCATTAAAAGCAGCCTGCGGATCAGACAGGTATGAGAAGCACAGAGATTTACGACGTATTCTTGGTTCTTTCGGTAAATCACGTAGATAGAAAACAAAAATAATAAAATTAAAATAATAAATTGAAAATATTAAAAGAAAAAAGAAAAATAGTAAAATATATATTTGTAAAAATTCCTACGTAACGCACGCTGCATATCTCTCTGCATACAGTGTTCCCTCGCTTTTGTGCGGTAGATGCGTTATAAAAGAAAAAAGGGGGGGGGGAGCACACACACAGTACACACACACAGTACACACACACAGTACACCCACAATACACACACAGTACACACACAAAATACACACACAGTACACACACAAAGTACACACACACACAGTACACACACAGTACACACACACAGTGCACACACAACGCTGTCCAACGTCCGATCGCGTAGCCGCACACTAGTGAATTCAAACCCGCACGGTGTAGCGAATTTTGCGTGGAAAGAGGGTAGCCGCATGTACGCGAAATCGCACGAACCGAACCGGGGACCAGGCGAGGCAAAGCAGCTGTATTTGTTACAGCCCTTAGTCGATCTATTTGAAGGATAAATGCCTCCACAGGTCGGGTCGGTCACGGGGGTTGATTGACCATACTTCATAGCCACACTGATGGGTGGGTGCGGGTTCGTGAAAGGACGGCGTGGTGTCCTCGAACCAAGGCCGTATAAATATACTCAAAATGCCCCCCCCCCCCCAAATATATTGCTATAAAATAGATTTATGTTTATATGATTGTGGTTATGGGTGTACTTTATTAATCCCTAATCTTTGCCATTACATACGATGAAACAAGAAAAGGTACAAAATAAAAAAAATAGAGCAATGTAATACAATACACTATTAGACATTATTGTGAAAAAAAAGTCCATCCCATGTGTTAGTGAATTTTTAAATATTTCGGCAGGAAATGGCAGGAAATGAGTTTTCAAATTTAGATTTTTTTTTCTGGGGGGGGGGGGGGGGGGGGGACACACGGACCCCCCAGACCCCCTGGAAGATTTAGTCCTCCCCAATGTTGACTCCATGGCTACGGCCTTGCCTCGAACCCGTTCAGGTATCATTGGGCCACTGACATTGCTTGTGAGTCTGAATCAGCAGGTGGATCGGGGTTTGCTGTGCAGTGCGCTAACAACTGTGCCACAACTCCACTCCCACTCTCCTTGCGGAGTTGTGATACCCATCGTGTCGGACTGAGCGACTATTGTACATTTTGAAAGATGTTCTGGAAGGAATAGAAAGCTGAAATTTGGCACGTATATAATCGAGTCGTTGACAATTATTAGATCAATGTTAAAATTAAAATGTTAGGTTTTCGTCATCCCGAAAACTGTGGTTGGGGGGGGAAGTTACGTTTTTTTTTACTTTTTAGAGCTTTTCAACCTAAGCCCTACTGACGTTCGTATTTAAAGAGGTTTAAGTTCGCTGAATACAAACAGAAAATCGTTAGTTCTAAAAACTCGGTATTCCTGGTGCTCGTTGAAAGCGCATGACCCTAAAGCCGATATTAAGCGGGCGAACGAGTTACGGGTCAAATATGCGCAGCGAGTTGAGCGCATTACGGGCAATGCGCATTAAACGTGTCGTTTGTGAGTCACGTACGAAGCTATAACGCTGTGTACACATATACAACGAATTATTTGTTGCGATGGCAATGGTGTACAGCCACAAATAAACAACACATTGGTCCGTAACACACTGCCTTTACGTTCTATGGGGAGTGGGGACATCACACGCAATGTCGCCTAATGCTTTCATTTCAAGGCAGGGTTATTGACGATCGTGTTAAGTGTTGTTTTTGGATATAATATATGCAATCAGCTAACGGCAGGTGATTGCATGTAGGCACAGTGCTATATCCGTATCCTAACAGAGAAGAGTGTTCACGATTTAATATGCGCAATGTGATTGGTGGGAGACGCGGAGAGGCTTTATGTCGTTCTCTCTATAATATCTGTCTCTTATTTTAAAATACGTTGATCGCCCTGTATGTAAAGTATAATTGTTATATTTCGATTTAAAGCTTTCGTGACTGCAGGGATTCATCTTCTTGGTTCTTTCGGTAAAGTCACGTAGGCTTATGTTTTATTTTTATTATTTATCATTGTTATATTATATAATTGTTACATAAACAGTTTTTTGTGTTCAGTTTTTTGTCCTTCCCCCCACACCTCCGATGAGCATGGTTGGCTACGTACGGTGCGAAAGAAGTTCAACAAGCATACGATATTAAAGTAGACGCGGTTGTCATTCGATTAAAAGCGTATATAAGCAGAACTCCGTTCCGCGTCTCTATATATTACTACAACACGGGTTAGTCACACCGGCCTTATTATTTGGTGTTGTGCAGACCAATATCACCGAACAGCACACATTGTTTAAGCAATTCAACTCTTTGCTGGGTAGTCTTGTAAAACAAACGCAGCCAGATTAGCCACATGTGTCGTTAACCCACCACCAACCCGACACAGATAATGAGTAAGGTTTGTTACGTAAACAACACGTGGCAATTAGTTACTAGTTCATCACACCGGGTGGTGGGTGGGTTAACGACACATTTAGATTTACGCAATCTAACACCCCCCCCCCCCCAAATTTTTATTTATTTATTACGAATAATATTGGTCGTCAAGACCTCACTTGTTAAATAACCCATATATGGGTTGGGTGATTGGCAAGAACACTCCGTATAATCGATGGCACCCACGTTCAACTTATAGAGAAACAAAAACCCAAGTGCAATACCACATACACGAACTCGGTAATTCGATTAAATCGGGAGTGGGTGTTTCATGCAGCACGGAGCCTGCCCTGTGTTTGTTGTGTGTGCAAATCTACTCATCCTTGGCGCGTGCACCTATCAGCACCCACTCAAAGGTTCTCTTTTAAAAAAATCCACAAGAAGTACAAATTCTTGCACCGTGTTGTCTTTTAATGTTTTTTTTTGTAAAAACCAGACCAGTCTAGTTTTTGCCAGCATACCGTAAAGCAGAAGTGACGCACTATGATAGAAATATGTTTAATAAACTAAACGCTGAAACAGTGTGCTTATAAAAAAGGGTCAATACCCGAAACGTCGCCGATTATATGTTTATTTCCTTTTTCTTTTAAAGTACTGTTGTTGTCCAGTGTGCTCAGATAAAAAAAAAATATATATAATTGGAACCATAATTTTCCGAGTTAACTATATGTTTATATATAACTTTATTCCTATATATATGTGTGTTGAAGACAGTTGAACATACACATGTGATGTTTGTCAACAGCTTACCTTGGTCTTTGTCCTGACATTAACTTGCAGGTAATCGCAGAGGTTTCAAGGTTGAAGCAGGTGTTGAGGTCAAACTGGAAGTACAAATTGTGGTGAACAGGTTGTGTTACTGTTCCCGAATTGTGAGGAATAACCAAACCATCATACACCATGGACAACCGTATAGTCCAGCTCATAGACATGCTCGCTATACGCCGATCAACTCCATTATGCATACAGACTTGTCGAGGAAAAGGTACGTGTGTTTAATTGAATCAAAATTATTTTCACACCACGCGAATATTAACATTTAACGAAGACTTTGCGTACACGTTAACATCCGAGTATAGTAACGTGTGATATGTGAAGTGAAAACAAATGTCAAGTTCAAATGCCCCTAAAGTGGTACACTAATTAATAGCATTAAGCCAATTGCATCTAGCTAGAGATGATCATAGGTGCTCGCTCACAGCACTTAAACCAACAGCCTGTTAAAGGCTATACGGGGGATCTTTGTCTTTATGCGTGTTTGTCAGTATCCCGTAGCATCGGGAGGGGGGCAAAGCCTCAAGTGCTGAAAGTTCCTCACCTCCTATAAATTATTTAAAAGTGAATGAAAAAAATTATATGGAACAAAAAAGCAGATATTACCGGCACTCTTTCTGTTTTAGCGTTTACATTTCGACTGAAGTTTGTTTAACATCGGTGTCGTGACCCCCTCTGTATATGTATGCCCCCCACCCCGTCTTTAAATCAGTCCACACGACATGACTGTGTGTGCGTGTACATGATAAACTGTGCCCCAGTTTATATATATAATAAAATAACTTACGATTGAGAGCCGCAAATGTCACGTCCAGATTGAAGCAGTGATCGATATGCGCGCACGTGTGTAAAACCTCGTGACCAAATAATCTGAACGAATCATTCGTGTCGCTGCGGAGAACGAGAGCGAAACGCGGAGTAGAGCGACACCGCAGCGAACGAATCAAGACAACCTCACTGATCCGTCTCTAGCTCTCCTTTCTTTGCTTGGGGGGGAGGTGGGGGGGAGGTAAATCCTCCTACTTGGTCCGGACGAACAAGACACTTGCCTTTTTAGACCACGTGAACCGTACTGGTAATACAACCCCGTGTGGCCGGCCCTGACGGGTCACTCTACGAGCTGTAGGAGAGGTGGTGCTCTCTGCACTCGCGCGCGGTTATGGGGGAGTGGAGAGAGGGAAGTTGGTGGTGGAGGAGGGAGTGGTTGTGGTGGTGGTTGTTGTGGTGGTGGTTGTGGTGGTGGGGGAGTGATCTTTACGTTTCGCACTGGAATCCAACCGGAACGTTCGCGCGCGCGTGGGCCAAAGCCGCCGAGATGAGAAAGGCAAAAAAAAAATGCGCGCAACGCAAAGGACTTGAGATGGTCGACGCAATGAGATGTGCCTAACTTGGCGAGATGATTTTTTTTATTCGAGTAGAACGCCAACTTGCGTCGTTGCACCCTTCTCCACCCGACACGGTCAAGCGCATGAAGTTGCCGCGTGAACAAGCACATCGGCAAGTTCACGTGGCGCGACTCCGTTCGCGTCGATGCGCTCGAGTGGAGGCTGCGTGTATGACATTTTACTCACGCAATCAATTACGAGTCGTAATTATGAATCATAATCGATGGTCGCAAAAGCCTACTTGTTATGTTTTTTTGTGTGAGAGGTTAACGGCGTCTCCCACCGTGGAAATGTGGAATTGACAGCCACTGGCTCAAGAGATGAGTGACGCATCCATTGATTATGAACCTACGACCACATCGATTATAAAAGCCCGGTGTTCCGTTTGTCATTTTGTCCGTCAACTAAATGATAAGAGCCTTTCAGAAGGCCTGAATCAAAACGTTGTAGAAAGTGAACCCCCCCCACCCATCCAGATGTGGGGGTGAAAAGTTGATCCAATAGGTTTCCAAAAATTGTCGACCCTGAACCCCCAAAAACATTATCACTCCACCCCCCCCCCCAAAAAACCCATTCATTTTGTAGGCATATGTGCCTACACACCCTACATACAGTAGTCAGTAGTATCTACTACACAACCTACACACAATAGAGTCAATAGTATCTACTACACACCCTACATACAATAGAGTCAATAGTATCTACTACACACCCTACATACAACAGAGTCAGTAGTATCTACTACACACCCTACATACAGCAGAGTCAGTAGTATCTACTACGCACCCTACATACTATAGAGTCAGTAGTATCTACTACGCACCCTACACCCAGTAGAGTCAGTAGTATCTACTACATACCCTACATACAATAGAGTCAGTAGTATCTACTACACACCCTACATACAATAGAGTCAGTAGTATCTACTACACACCCTACACACAACATAGTCAGTAGTATCTACTACACACCCTACATACAATAGAGTCAGTAGTATCTACTACACACCCTACATACAATAGAGTCAGTAGTATCTACTACACACCCTACACCCAGTAGAGTCAGTAGTATCTACTACATACCCTACATACAATAGAGTCAGTAGTATCTACTACACACCCTACATACAATAGAGTCAGTAGTATCTACTACACACCCTACACACAACATAGTCAGTAGTATCTACTACACACCCTACATACAATAGAGTCAGTAGTATCTACTACACACCCTACATACAATAGAGTCAGTAGTATCTACTACACACCCTACACACAACATAGTCAGTAGTATCTACTACACACCCTACACACAATAGAGTCAGTAGTATCTACTACACACTCTACACACAACAGAGTCAGTAGTATCTACTACACACCCTACACACAACAGAGTCAGTAGTATCTACTACACACCCTACACACAACAGAGTCAGTAGTATCTACTACACACCCTACGCACAACAGAGTCAGTAGTATCTGCACACATTACGGGGAAGAGGACATCAGTGGGGGCGACGGGCGAGATGCCAGGTTCTGAGAAGCCCTCCCCGCAAGAGGTACAAGTTCGGCGGTCCGTGACTCTCAATGTGTCTTCGAGTCGTGCCGTGCGTGGGCTGTTGTCCCACGTTCCTCGCCATGTGCTGGAAGCTTCCTTGGGAACTAAATTAATTAATTTTTCAAGAAACGGATCGTTAAAAGCCCCGCAAAACGCATCGGAGAGAGATGCAGCACAACCTCGAATGCCTTCACGGCAATATCGCGACCACGTTTAACGACCACATTGTTACATTTGTTAATCCAGGAAAGCCTTGCTGAGCCTCATTATAATTATTATTATTTCTTAACGGAGGGTCCTGCCAAGTTTTCACACAGAAGGGGGCGATGATTTCTGAATATATTTCAAATGAGTAATTCGCGAGTAAGTCTTCAATCCGTGTCCCAACCTCGTCGCAAGGGCGCATGAGCTTGGTTTGTATCCGCATGAGAGGGTTTGCTCGGTAATAGCAGCAAGTGTTCCTCAGCGTGAGGCTGCAACGTGGACAGAACGGTACAGAGTAGAGCAGTGGATTAATATCTTTATCTCTGCGGAGCTTTGAGTTTTTGTCTGTTAAAGAAAAACCATCAACAGAATCTGTTATAAGGGGCCGTCCATAAATGACGTCACGCGATTTTGGACGATTTTTTTACCCCCCCCCCCCTTCGTCACACGGCGTCACAAAAAATCAGACCCCCCCCCCTCAAATATGACGTCACAAAGTTTTGCCCCCCCCCCCAAAAAAAAATAAAACATGCTTCAAATCGCTTTAAACTATTGTCATTGTAGTGCGTATTTAATGTGGCGCTGCACTCTGATGTTGTTGGAGAAAACATTTATTCAAAAGTCTATTTAATTAAGTAGAAGGTGTTGTCTATATTTATTTAAAGTTGCGCATTTTTATTTGACATCCCATTTCTCCCCACCTCGTCACTCATCGTCACAAATGTCTGACCCCCCCCCCCCCCTAGGTGCGTGACGTCATTTATGGACGGCCCCTGAGCGCTTCCACTCTTAAAGTTGTGTCAGAGCCACATGAATCCACTGCGCCGCCATGTGGCCACGCGTACAATGAGACCCAATACGCGCCACCATTGCCAATCTCCATCATCATCATCGTCATCAGCCATCATCAATCCACTGCTCGATGAAGGCGTCCCCCCAAGCCGTCTCTCACAATCCTGCAATGTAACAATCCTCCTCGCACCTGATTTCGTCGCTCCATCTCCACGGCTGTCAATCTCTCCGACGCATTTCATTCTAAGGGTGTCATCTCATCGCACATCAATGCTGTACGCAGTGCGGGGCCTGTAGAATGATGTTATAAAGGGGCCCTAAAAAAACACACATTAATATTAAAACACACATTTTTTACTTGCATAGTAAAGTAATTGTATTTTTTCATTTGCGACGCAGCCAGAAAAGACGACAAATCGATAACCTTAAACACCCAGTCGTTCATAAAAGTTGAAGGCAGTATAGTGCTATAGCAATAGAGCAAGTGCAGAATCACTGAACCGGAGTTGATAGCTTGAAAGCATTTAACGCGGGGCCCTTGAAAGTGCGGGGCCCGTAGCTACTACATATGTAGCTACTTTTGCTACTAGGATGATCCGGCACTGTGGCTGTAAGGTTTCCAGAGGCCGACTTTGCAGCAGTGTACATTGGTGACGATACTATAATGTGCCCATGATGATTCCTAACAAGTACAAAAACTAGTTGGCAGTTGCCTATCTGTGTACCACTCATGGCTGTCAGTCGCTAACATTCCTCCTGTATATTTGGAGTTGGCATGTTCTCCTCGTGGTTGCGTGGATTTTTCCCTCCACATTTAACACATTCCTCCGGAGGGAGCTGGTAGGAACGTTGGGTTGCTCGGTCAATGGCCAGGGTCAACGGCGGCGTGGTGTATTCCGCAAATATGCCCGACTGTGAGGGCGGGCACAAGTCGGCGTGAGTAGGTTAAACGTTGAGTTTTACAAGGGCACCACGGGGTGACCAGCCCCTCCCCACCCAGCCCCACCCAGCCCCACCCTCCCCTCCCCACCTAGCCCCTCCCCTCCCACCCCCCACCCAGCCCCTCCCCACCCAGCCCCTCCCCACCCTCCCCTCCCCACCCAGCCCCTCCCTCCCCACCCAGCCCCTCCCCACCTTCCCCTCCCCACCCAGCCCCTCCCCACCCAGCCCCTCCCCACCCTCCCCTCCCCACCCAGCCCCTCCCTGCACGACGGACGGACGGGCACAATAATCCCCTTGTGGGCTGGTGTAACCAGGAGGTTCCAACCAGTATAAATATGCGTTTAGAGTAATTTAGCTGCTAGAACATTTCCACGCGATAAGCCACTTCGTCGGGCTATTATCATTTGTGGCCAGGTCGCTTCTGAAAAAAGGGCTCAGTGGGCCTTACCTGGTAAAAATAACAAAATTATAGTTGAGTTTAATCAATGTGACTTTTCAGGACCACATGTCACTGCTGGGGACGTTGAGGTTAACGCACATCCATCCCCTGGTTAGGAGGACTTGTATTAAAACAAATATATTATTACAGTATATGCCACGTTATTTGATAGCGGAGCACAGGTTTGCGTGGTGCGAATACGGTACAGCAATGTTAAACTAAAACTAAACCTTTTTTTACAAGGAGTCATGTTTGCATTGACCACAATACCTGCGGTCGGAATGCAAACAAACAACACAACTCTGATAATGTAAGCACTGTCTTTCTTAGAGCCTAGTCTCACATGGTGTTGGACCAGATGACGACAAAAGACGCACTGTCAGTTTTGTTGCCAGAAGGGTAAAAAACAATTATCATATTTTGCTACTTGCAAAGGAGGTTCCAATGGTGGTAAAACTAAACAATTTGTAGTTTAACCATGCATGGCCCACTGAGCTGTGTGAGCTCTATTTCAGAAGCGACATGGCCACAAGTGGCTTATCAATGTGGAAATGTAGCCAAATATTCTGAGAGAGAGACACGCAAACTAGAAATGTACAGCAGCAGGCGTCCTCAGGGTCGGGATCGAAGCCACGACCTCCTGTATACCAGGCGAGGTAGTTAACATCTCCTAGCCACCATGATGATGATGAGAGAGACACACAAACTCCAAATACACAGCAGGCATTGTCAGGGTTGAGATCGAACCCACAACCTCCTGTACACCAGGCGAGGTAGTTAACATCTCCTAGCCACCGTGATGATGATGATGAGAGAGAGACACACACAAACTCCAAATATACAGCAGCAGGCATTGTCAGGGTCGGGATCGAACCCACGACCTCCTGTATACCAGGCGAGGTAGTTAACATCTCCTAGTCACCGTGGTGATGATGAGAGAGAGAGACACACAAATTCCAAATACACAGCAGGCATCATCAGGGTTGTGATCAGACCCACGACCTCCTGCATACCAGGCGAGGTAGTTAACATCTCCCAGCCACCGTGATGATGATGAGAGAGACACACAAACTCCAAATACACAGCAGGCATCGTCAGGGTTGAGATCGAACCCACGACCTCCTGTATACCAGGCGATGTAGTCAACATCTCATAGCCACTTTGGCGCCCCAATTAGTATCCGCAAACACTATTAGGGTTAATGGGTGCAGGAATTACGAACCCATCAATGAAATTACGGCAGGTGTAAGTGATTAAATTACCGTCACGTACAAATAAAATTTACTTTAATGCAGTTCTGTGTATATACACTACACGTAATTGATTTGAGGTGATTATAATCGATTCAATAGATCACTAACCACACATCCGATTCCCTCAGGATAACGCAATTAATGACGTAAAATATCGTAAAAGCGGTACAAAACATTTAAATTAAACATTTATTCTACAAAAAACACATACATATATATAATTAAATCTTAAGCGTAAAATTATTAACATTTTTATTTTGAAATAAAGTTGTTTGTGGAATCGGTTAATCGATTCGGCTCGCGTCGATTAGAGGAGTCGAGTTCTTGTTGCGGTTGAGAATTGAGGTGCGGTGGTGAGGTGAGGGCCGATTTTAAATCTCACAATCGAACTAAATACAACATTAACTCTCGATTTCAGGTGTCTTCGCGTATGTTACTTCTTGTTACTTGACAACGATACTTTTGCCTTGTAAATTTTTTATCTCGTGTGGTTTTTTTGCCTCGTTAACGGTGCGCGCCTGTGAGTTAATCGCCACGTGTTGCGTGAAGTTTTAAAAGTAACACAAGTAAAACATATCCGGCGTACACTTTGATCGACGCCTTTATTATCATTGTTTACGATAAGAAGTTGTGTATTGTTTATGTGCTAATTGTGTTAGGTGGGTGGGTGGGTCGGAGGTGAACGCCCAAGATGGTGGCGTTAAAAATACTTTAACCACTTTAATCACAAACTTTATAACTTCTCTGCCGTATAAATGTGGAATTATCATTAGCCCTGGTACGGAGAGGATTAGCCACCCTGACCCTCGGTGCCAGAAACAAAAAAAATGCAATTTTGCCTTAAATGTACCTCAAATTTGCCTTAAATGTACCTCAATTTTGCTATAAATGTACCTCAAATTTGCCTTAAATGTCCCTCAAATTTGCTATAAATGTACCTCAGTCTTGAATTCTGGCGTTTGTTGCCGACGGTGAGGCAAATTAGCAGGGCAATTGACACATTTGACGATGGCGTTATATCCGGCAGATGCTTAAACAAGACACGAAATCTTTTGGAGTTGTGTTGATGTGACATCGAATTGAGGAAATCATTGTACAGAAATCGAGATGAAGTGCTTTATGGACAAGATCATCAGGAGTGGGATGTCTTAATTGGGGCAGAAGAGCTGGGCGGGCCATGTTTCTTGCAGGAATGGATAAACATTGGCTTTTAGGGGCCGAAGCTCGGAAATTTGGACCCGAAAAAGTTCAAAATAGTTTTGTTCATGTTAATGTTGAGTTAGCTTTATAATTTGCACGTGACATATCACGCTACAACAGAAATAACCATGGTTAATAACAATGGAGCGTTTGTCATTAGGCGTGGGCACTTTAAAAAAAAAACATTAAAGGGATTGAAAAAATAGGGCACCCCTAAAAGCGATTACCTTCTTGGCTTCTCATTAAAACTTAAGACAGCTCGGATTTCGAGATGAAAGACTTTTGAAGGCAGTTCTCGGAGGATAAAATGTTTGGGAAATGGCAAGAGAAAGAGGAAATCACTGCTCAAATAAATGAATAAAAAGTGGAGTCATGGACTAAATGAAGAGAAAAATGAAAACTCAGATAGCATGGGAGGAACTGGAACCGATGAATATGCCCTGAGACAATAAAACATTGGCAGAATAAAATGTAATACCAACGCTACATATACGTATTTGGTTATTGAGTAGCAATTGCTCGTGTTACTGTATTGTTGTTTATGGTACATGCATAGTGGTATGGAATTGACGCATTTTTTTGTGGTTTTACAGGACACCAGGGTTGTGGCGATGGAAACCGCCCCAAAGCGATCGCATTTCTCGCAATCGGTTTGTTGATCTTTTTTACAACTGAGCCACTTTACTCGTCATGCAGTGATGCATCAGATCATCAATGTAAAAGTATTCTTTTGGTCATGATACGTGAACCGAATTGGGCATTTTAAATGAATATATTATTCCTGAAGCAATGTACAAATGTGTTGTGTAGTCATTGGTGAATGGGATGATATGTTTTCGCATGTGATTAGTTCAAGTAAACCCTACTGCCACTAGAGGCTCTTCACACACTGGCGTGGCAACACGAACAAATTGAATTGTGATGCAAATTGGGAAAGACAGTATCTGGGATAAACATGGGGCACAATTAAATCATTATTTCGTTTAATAATTTTCAACTGAAATGTTTTGATGGAATTTCAGTTTACACGTCTCTCCCCGTGCTTATTTTGGCAGCTTGAATACCGAATATCAGAAGCATTAAAAGGCAATGGCTTTGACGATTTGGAGAGGTGCCTTGCAGAAGATGACTCGGTGCATGTTGTCTCAAGATATGACAACCAAGTGCTGATTAATCTGGACACACTTATTCAGAAGGTATGTTGGAACACCCAACAAAAATGTTGAACATTTCCTTTTACCTGTTTAGCCATTATGTGAAGACTGCGAAAAAGACATCCTTGGTATAGGCAGCCCACATGCCACCATATATAGGTTACGACGACCCCGTCGTAAGTCGAAAATATCGTGAGTCGAAGGTGGCCTAGCCTACCCAGGAGTCTTAAAGAATGGTGATAATTTAGCAAAACAGAGCAATTTACAGTACCGTACTATATAAACTATATACTGTATGTATTTATTAATTACAATACTGTATTGCACAGTAACATGTAAAGTAAAAAAAACAAGGTAAATTCTTAGCCTACCTATATGAACTGCAATTTAAAAGAAAGTTTTTTCAGGAAACAATCTTATCTGCTATAATTTTTTTTAACATGCATTGAACGTATCGTATCGTGGTAACCTTAAAATGAAATCGCTAAAGCTACGTATCATACATGCATTGAATGTATCGTAACATATATTGTACTGTACTCACCAAGATTCTGTCCGTCGTCTTCATACTTGAACGATGTTAGGTTGTTGATGGCAATTTTGTCGTATCGTCATCGTAAGATTTAAATATCGAAATATCGTAAGTTGGGCCATCGTAACTCGAGGACTACCTGTATTGTCACTAGCTAAGTTTTAAATTGGGAGAAATATACATACTCCGAATTCTCAGACCTGTTAACCTGCCTTATTGTTTTTACAGGAGCTCGGCAAAAAGAATTTCACCAATGTTGCACTGTTGCTGAGGTGTCTTTTGCTTTATAATAAGTTGGACAGAAACTCTGTCTTACGTCTACTACGCGATGGAGTTGTTTCTAAGATAAGTAATGAGTGCTTCCTGACTTTGGTATAGAACCTGGCTAACTGTACATAAACAATTTTAGATTTTTAAAACTTCTGAAAAATGTAGCCTCTTTTATATCCGAATGTATATTTATATTTACAAGTATATTTTATAAATAGAATGTATTCCATATCTTTTTGTTAAGGTTGTGTTTTTCTAATAATGGATAATAGTGTTATATTTTCGCTTTATCTTAATTGTGCTGATAACTGAACAGCTTTTCTTATTCAAACATCCGAGAGCTATGCAAAGTCATTGCTATAATACTTGTTTGCTATGAACCTCATATTTTGGAATATGGAATAATGAACATGTCATATTGTGAATTTTGTGTTTTTTTTTCATTCGTGTACGTTGCAAAATGGTTCAAGCAGGTAATTGAGCTGCATACCAAAGACAAGGCATCCAAGTCTGCAGTGATTGTGGTGTTTGAGCACTTCTTTGAAGCCATTTCGGTATGTTAAGGTTTTTTGCGTACCTTAATTCTTATTTCATGTTTACATCGAATAACTGCAGTCACGAAAGCTTTAAATCGAAATTTATATTGCACAGCTTATTGTACTAATGCTGTGAATAAAATGTCAAGTTTGGTTTATACCAAGTCAAAAACTAAATGCCTTGACTTGGCGTAGAGCATGCTATATCATACCTTCACACAATTGAATTTAACTTGATGTTTTACAGATTTTTGCTGGTATTAACAAGGAAGGTAAGTGACACCTTTTTAAAGTTATGCTAAACATTTATATTTGTAATTCTTTAACTGTTTATATGCTTTTTTTACACGCTTTTATTTAACTCACTCTGTTGTTGTTGTCGTATCCTCAAATCTTGTAACTCAATTTTAACCCACTTCCCATTGTGGTATCGACTGCAAACTTGGTATACTTACGTCATACTGATGACAATACTATATTCTATCAAAAAATTTTTAACATTCCTTTTTATATGTTATGTTTCGGCTTGGGTCTAATTGTCCACGCTCAACTGACGTTGGCTGTAAATCACCACGGTCCCTTACGTTATGGCAAGCTTTGCGGCCACTTCCTGGAGTCGTGCAGTTCTGCCATTACGAGTACGGTTCATTTCATTAAGGCGTGTTTAAAAAAAGAAGTATTTTTAAATGTTACTTATTTTTGCTGCATTGTGACGCCAATGATCAGTTTTCTTTTTTAACAGGGCGTACAAAGGTTATCGGCTCATTTTTCTACATCTTATGTGACTTGGTGGTTCATCCAATGGTGGACTTTTTTGTACAATTGGATGTAAGCAATGTCATTAAAAGTAACAGCGCATATTCCCATTTCTATTGTGTTGTATTCATGCATATGTTCAGTAGTTAAATGCCAATCTCGAGGCCTGCTAGCCATGCGAGGGTTTCAGTCGAGCGTTTGTGGAGTATTATTATTCCCCCGCTGAAGGAACGCAGACACACACAGTGGTTTACTATAGGGTCCACAGTTTGGGTTGCGTGGCCACAGTCGCATTAGCATCAATACGACTTGATATTGTTGGTGGCTCAAGTTTGTTTTGGGGCATAGTATACAATGAATAATTTATAGAAAACCCATTGCGTTGTAATGACCTAACTTCTCTTCCTCATAAGCAAATGAGGATCGGCTACGTTCGACAAAGTGGATGATGTCAAAAATATTTTTGTGTATCGAGATAAGTGGGGGACATGTAGAGGCTTTCAATTAAAATAAGTTGCATCTGTAAATTCTCCCTATTATTTTAGTAAGTTACCTATAAATGGACCACTGTACAATTTTAAAAAGGCGTATGTGGAACAGTGATCGGCAACAATGCTATGCATCCGGCGACCTAAGTTTGATTCCGGTCGCGGCTGACCAACTTGGTGAACTGTCATCGAACAACTCGCACGACTGACATAGTTTGGGGGGAGGCCTTAATCCAGCAGTGAATTAAAATGGCTTGTATGTTGTTCGCTCTTACTGCTATATTGGCTTTGAATTAATATGTATTTTAATGTGCATGTTGCGAATTACCATGTAATGGCAGATTTTAAATGATAACTTTTGATTTTTTTCAGGCCATTAACAAGATCAACATGTTACTAAATCCTGCAAATCAGTTCGTGAAGAAGCAGATTATGAATGCTGAGGAAACAAAAAAACTAATGTAAGTTCCTCATCTCTTGAATTTTGAGGTCGTATAAAATTATGCTTTCTCAACACTTTAATTAATAAAAATTTGACACGTTTGGTATGGTGGAGTATAAAATAATATAAAAGAAGTGGATAATGTGGACATTTTCTACACATTTAAAAATGAAACCATTTTTTTCAGGAATATATGGGGAAGACACCTTCCTTATGCTGGTGGTAAGGGATTTTCAACTTTATCTGCACTTAAACCCGTTTCACCACGTGTGATTCGGCATAATGACTGACGTATCGCTCCTTATGCTGGGAGCTTTAAGAAGTAATGAGCGTGTATGCCTAAGTGACGAAGCTAATAAATAATATTGGCTGGCTTTAAGCAGCAGCAGCCAGCGACTTTTCATCATTGAGGGAGTGCTCCATTCAACCCAAAAATGCATCATAGTGCAATACAGAACTACCGCAAAAACACGTAAAAGATTAAAACGATGTTGCTGACAGTTGCAGGAAAAGCTGAAAATTAGTGACAAAATAAAAAAAAAAATTTGAACTCGTATATGTTACAATTAGATTATTTAAAGCATTGTAATGATGCACAGTGGCCTACACAATTGGAGGAACGTTATGGCATATAATCCACACTCGTTATGACCATTCAGTGTGTGTGCGTTGAAGTCCATGGGGAGCGGTAGTGTAGCGGTTAGCGCGCTGCAACTTTGAACGTGGCGACCTGAGTTGGATTCCCGCTCATGTTCAACACCAGTGACGATTATCTGAACCGGTCTTGGGCCTCCCCTAGGTCGAATCGGCCTCAAATCAGTACCTGGTGTGGTGTGTAAACATCGCCACTAGGGAGACAAAGGCGGCCGGGCGTGGTGCTTGGCCACCCACTCTCTCGTATGCCCTGGTGGCCTTCATAGGTGCTGGCTAACATCGCTTGCCACAACAGTTTCTTAAGGCTATACGGGGGATAAAAAAAATAGCTCTGCCCATATGTGACCTACTCCGTGCGTTTCCGTGTGTGCGCATTTCAGATTACGAACTGCAGTTGGGGCTCACGGAGGCTCTATGTCGCCTCGCCAAGGAGAAAGTGCGACTAGAGCTGTCAAAGCAGTGGTTTCCCATGGAGTTCATTGTCACCGCCTTCAAAGCTATCAAGGACTCTGACTTTGAGACGGTATTGATAACACATTTCTTGAGTTTGAAAACACGTCCAGGTTCTGGAAATTTAAACGTTTTGTCATATAATTAATATGGCCATACATTACTCCCATTGTATATATTATTCATTGAGTTTGTTAATACAAAGGATATGACATTATAACTATACTGGTTACCAAAAATATTGCGCTGGCTTTTAGAGCTTTCGATAGCGTCATCATCCATATTGAGTTGATTAAATGAATGTAAACGTGACGTAAGAAACAACCAAGCCAATATCAAGAAAGGAAATATGCACAAACATACAACTCCATTTGGGAGATTGAGTCACAACAAGGGTTACATTTAAAAAAATCGATTCTTAATTTACAGAGTGTTACTATTAGTTGTGGCTTTTTATTTTATTTTGCAGGATTGTAGAAAGTTCCTTAACACTGTCAATGGGATCCTTGGAGAAAAAAGAAGGTAATTACGTGGAAAGTGTGTTTTTTGTATTTTGACTGTTCATAAATATGTGCAGTTCTTATTGATTATTTCAGTACATATGTTATTTAAATATTTAGCTAAATGTTTAGCGGTATTTGCTAAAACAATCTCTGATTTAAGTTGCTTTATTACGTGGCTGAATTATATCATTTGTTTTTGTCCAACAGTGTGATTACCTTCCCATGCATTGCAATTTACTTAGAAGACTATGAGGTAGGTGCTTCTTAACTTCACAAAGATGCCTACATTTCTTCTTTGGAACATGTCCTTACAAGTACGGCATACAATTAAAACTTGTAATTTAATATTTTTCAAATTAACAGCTGAAAATGCCACGCGATGATAAATTGGAAAACTTCTGGGTTGATTTTAACAGTGTCAGCCATCGCATTTCTTTCTTTATTGCTGATGAGGACGAGGAAAGCGACGTGAGTTATTCAGGTTTTTTCAATTTCAATTTGACGTAACATTTATGTGTTTTGGCTTGCTTCATTGCACGTTAAAATTGTATACCTTTTTAGTTGAAAGTAAATATCTTTTTCTCATACATTTAGGAAGATCTTTGGGAGACGATCAGCTTACCAGAAAATATAATAGTTGAATACAGCGTAGAAGGTGGGTGATAGTTGTTTTACTTTAATGCACCTAACAATTATATGTTTTGCTATGAACTTGTTGTATTATGCAGTTACGAGATTCTGAAATAAGATGTATGGTGAATAGTACGTTGGTTTATGTTTCTTTTACTTTTGGCAGCAAGGAGTAAGGAACAAGTGGTCATGATTACAATGCTAAGTCCAGTGAGCACAGCAAAAAAGAATGGAAGTAGAGTTACCATTCACTTTGACAAATCGTTTGATATTTTAACCGCCCTTGGAAATGTCTTTGGGAAGGAAAAGCTGAAGGTGAGTAACGATGCACACAACTTTTGGTTGACCACTTTCTATAGCCTGGCCTAACTCATTTTCGTTTCCCTACAACATCCAATCGTGTATTTTATTATAAATGTTTCTTAAGCCCAGAATACAAGAGGAAATGCATTTCGAGTCTTTAGCCAATCAGGACAGGCTCTGTCTGAGTGAGAGTCATTGATCATGACTAAAGTTTTCGGACAATGTTTTTAAAATAATGTTTTTGGAGGTAGTTTTTCCTCGTATGCTATGTGTTAGGAACATTAAACATTGTTTTTCATTGGTACTCTAAATCATTAAAGTAAAGTATATAGTGGGGATGTGTTCATGATTTTTTTTATGAAATCTGAACATTTTAAAATCAGGCTTACATATTTGGATGATCCAAAATTTAGTTTGTTTTGGATGATCCAAAAGTGTGACTCCACAGGAAATTATGTCACTTTTGTTCAGTCACTTCTGTGAATCTTCCCACATAGTGGTGTTGCGTGGGATTGTGTTACGTTGTTATGTAAGTTGTTATTGAATGTAAATGATCTCAAATGCGAAATATTCAATATTGTCTTTAAAAACCCAAAATCTGAAATTCATACTGTGTATTTTATATAATAGTTCATTTCATGGTATGTTTATTGGCCGTTTATTGGGATTAATGGTATTGATTATCAATTTATAATCACGTGCCTATGTGTTCCTGTGTTATATATCTTTGTTAGATGTATGGGGGAAAAATATCCCGAAATTGTTGCACCAGTAAGTGTTAAGAGAAAGTGACTGAGCATGATATTATTTAAGTGTTTAAAAATGTAAAATACTCTTAACATTTCTCCGGATTTTTTCCCCTGAATAACCTGCTTGTTGACATATCAAACACATACAAGTTGTAAAAAGTGGCCTATTCACTCATAAACCTCATGTGAGTTATGGTTTATTCTGCTCCCCACTACACTAAGCAGCGTTTCAGTCCATCCACTTCTGGGCCTTGTGAACCCAATGTTTCTCAGCTGCGTTTGTTTAAGCAAGAAACCTGGGTACTGGTTACGACATTCTGAGTCTCTTTAACAGTAGCCTGTTAACCAAATGATGCTGGATTGCAGATGTTGCAGTGAAGAGCACTCCATTAAAACTGGTAGGCCTATTTGGCACAAACCAATAGAATTATATAAATGCTCTTTCTTCGCTGCCATGGATGATTATCCATAAGATTTTAGGTTATTGTGGTGAACAAATAAACAGGGAGGAGCATCTCTTCACATATACATTTTGAGGCCTTTGCCAGTCTACTGCTGGATGAAGGCCTCCCCACACCATGAGGGTCAAAGGTATTATTTGACCAAACTGCCCCATGCGGGTTAGTGTGAGTTGGTCAAGGCGGGGAGAATATATGTGCAGTACAGTAGATTTTGCTGCACATTGCACGGCTGCCTTACAGCTGAAAGAAACCTGCTGCGCATGGGGGTTGCCCATGCAAGCATTATCCAGGCTTAACCTGTGTGAGCTTCTTAGATCGCACCTCCGATTAGCATGGTGGCCTATGTACGTGGTGTGAAAGTAGTTCAGCACAGATCTGATGAGATGGGGAGCATTCCAGGCGATTTGGTCAGAGGAGTCTCTTCACATATTGCCGCAATTTTGTCGTAACTTGGCACCATCTTTTGGGATGTGTGCAATGTGTAACGTCTGAATAGCTAAAAGCATTGAACTCGCGTATGCAAGAGAAGGCATCACAACACAGAACAAAAAGATGCTATAGTGAGCCAGAGATGATTGAGAAGCATTTGAGAAAACATGCCAGGATGGAAAAACGGGGACACAGTGAAGGAGAACATTCGGTAATTATAATGCCCGCATAACAAACGCATGCTTGTATATGCATGAGCCTTGTATGAAATAGATATATCAATATATAGTGAGAATAGGTTTTCCCCTTTTTTCTGGCAACAAAACAGGTGTTAAGATGTTAAAAACACCAAACTTAAACCTTTTACAAGGAATCATGTCTGCATTAACCACAATACTTGTGGTCAGAATGCAAAAAAAACATACTCCGATAATATAGGCATTGTCTTGGAAACTGATTGGTAGACACCAGAGACATCTTTCTTTTGAGCCTAGTCCCAAACGGTGTTAGACCAGAGGACGCCAAAAGGCGTACAGCCCAAAGACAATGCACTATCAGAGTAATGAGAGCTCGGGGTGAGCATCTACATCATGGGACCTCCTTTGCCAGTACTTGAACTAATTTCTTTATACTTTTTAGTTTTGTATGTAATTTTTTTGCGAGCTCATTTGAATTGTGAGTTTGGGATTTACAGTAGTGTTGTATTTTTTATGTACATTTTTACACAATATTTTGTTAAACTTTTTGATTTAATCTGTCATTCATGTTTGTTCAGCCCCTTCATTCTATGAATCAAAACCAAACCAAGTTCAACATGTCTGATTCAACTCCATCTCTGGTCATGGTAAGAATGTCCAATGAAAAGAAAACATTTTCATGCTAATAATGTAGGTAATGCAGCCTTCCCAAAAGGGAAAACTCAATCTAGAAAAACCAAAATGTTCCAAATATATTTATCAGTAATATGGTAAGTGGTAAGTGTTATGTGAAATTGTATATGTACATGTAGAGGCTTTTATCAGTTCACTGCTAGATAACGGCTTCTCCAAGCAGTGCGGATCAGGGGGATTATTCATCAATACTGCACCGCACTGGGCAAGACGCGTTGGTGAAAGCGGGTAGGTAAGATGTGGAAGCATAGAAGAACTGTACAATAATGGATTTAGTGGCACCGTCCTGTCCTCTACTCAGCCCTGAAGTTTATAGGTAAGGCCCACTGAGATATACAGCTCTTTTACAGAAGCGACCTGCCACAAATGATAGCTCAACAATGTGGCTTATGTGGAAATTTATAGCAGACAAATACTCTAAATGTATGTTTATAAATGTGGAGGAAAAAAACCAGAGGACCTGGAGAAACATCCACACGATCACAGAGGGAACACAAGTATCTTGTCGTACATGGTGGTGTACCCTGTTGGGCTTCACAGGTCTGAGAGAATGAGCTCTTGGCAGTTGATTTGATCGGAGGCAGAATTATATAATTGGCATAAACACTACACATGTAGCAAAATAATCTATCCTTTAGCCATTGTACTTGTCACTAGTTAAAAAATAAGTCATGGATGGATACTATATTTAATGCAATATATATTTGTGTAGAATTTTTTGGGACACTGAGGAATTTTAAATGTTTTTACATATTAAAAAAAATAGATCCTCTGAATTTAAGTGGGCGGGTACAAAATGTTTACGTTTTATTTTTATGCTGGACACTGATGATTGGCCTGGCGAATTTTGACAATGTTAAAATGCATTGTGATAGCTAATGTCACCATTTTTGAAAAGGGTATTTTAGATGTTGGTTCGGTGCCTTTAGGGGCCGTCCATAAATGACGTCACGCACCTAGGGGGGGGTCAGACATTTGTGACGATGTGTGACGAGGGGGGTGGGGTTTGAGAAATTGACATCACATCAACATGCGCAACTTTAAATAAATATAGACAACACGTTCTACTTAATTAAATAGACTTTTTAATCAATGTTTTCTCCTACAACATAAGAGTGCAGCCACATTAAATACGCATTACAATGACAATAGTTATTTTTTTTGGGGGGTGGGAGGGCGGCAGAGCTTTGTGACGTCATATTTGAGGGGGGGTCTAACTTTTTGTGACGCCGTGTGACCTGGGGGGGGTCACAAATCGTCCAAAATCGCGTGACGTCATTTATGGACGGCCCCTTATAACAGATTCTGTTGATGTTTTTTTTAACAGACAAAAACTCCCAGCTTGGGAAAAACTTCAATTTCAATGATGAATATCATTCATTGCAGTGCTGGTATGAAGGCCACAACAATATGTAAGTCTTGATCCATTCGCAGCCATCATCTTTTACCCAACACAAATAAAAGGAGTTTAAATGACTAACTATTAATATTTTCCCCAATTGTAACTCATTGGACACTGAAGATCCTGCTGAAGACCGCAATGCCACCAAGGTAAAGGACATTACAGCTCCTGAAGGAAGTAACGTGACTGCAAGTGGCATGCTCAATGAAACACGGCAAAATTTCAGAGTAAGCTTTAATATTTAATCATCGACTATGATCTGTACTGCCGAATGAAGCCGTCACCAACTCTTAACAGTCTCGCATCCAACGATCCGTCGAGCATCCACACACGACCTGATTTAATCATGCCACCTCCACGGTGGATGTTCTTATAATAATTGTCTTTGAGTTGTGCACCTTTTGGCGTCATCTGGTCCAACACCATGTGAGACTAGGCTCTAAGAAAAGCTGTCTCGGGTGTGGACCAATACATTTCAAGGACAGTGCACACATTATCAGAGTTGTGTTTTTTGTTTGCATTCCAACCGCAGGTATTGTGGTTAATGCAAACATGACTCCTTGAAAAAAAGGTGTCAGTTTTGTTGCCAGATAAAAGGGTAAAAAAACAATTATATTTTGCTACTGGCAAAGGAGGTTCCAATGGTGATGGTTGTTCTCTCGAGTGGCTTCTCTTTTTCGGCTGCCGCTACATCATTAGTCTACCACAGAGCTTAATCTCTTGCAGCGATGTGTCCTGCCTAAGTCTCCTTGCTTTTTAAGAAGGCGATATGGTGCCTCTAACTTGTGTATGTTCTCTAAACCAAGTGTTCCCCTTTTTATCTCTGTAATACTTAATAACTGTATACTTGAAACAATTTCTGAAGTGTTGATATGTTTTAAAGTTTCCTTCATGAAATTGTTACATTTGTTTTCAGACGGATGTTTCAAAAAACAATGTGGAAGAGACAAAGAAAACCAATGTGACTGAATGTGGTACGTTTTGTCTAGTTATCTGTTTAAATAATTCATACCGGTTGCACATTCAAACTTTTGTGACAAAAGCTTGTCATATGAAAAGAAAATGGCATTCAAATTGACTTTCAGTACTCACCCCTAAACCACTTTCTCAGGTGCTGCTACCAGGAACACATGCAAGCCTGTTGAATTGCCAGCAGTGAAATTTCGAGAAGACCACAAGTAAATCTCACAGGATTGCGATGTTGTTTTGTGATTTTTAAATACCAGTGATGACCGATTTAGGTAACAGGTTTGCAACCATTGAAAATGTCAAATTGAGCTATTGGGAACATCAATATGGTTTGTAATTTAGTTTGAAGTGGTGCACCCTTTTTAAACTTTTCTTTACACTCAGGTTAATTATACATTTCCTGATTTCAAATCGACATCACTACTATATATTTAGTTTATAGCCTTGTGTAATTCCAAAGAACACAGGATGAGATGTTACTATCCTTTGTGCAAGCACTTCCAAGAGTTCATGAACAGTGAGCCTGGCGAAATTTGGGGAGCGCATCGTCAGTAGTGACCCTTTGGTTCCTAGGGTGTTTCGGCCTTTCATACTATACACCCTCCCCAAAGGCGGCCAGCGACAGGGTGATCAATCCTACGCTTGCGTCCCATTCCCAATTAGTCATAGGAGTTGCCTTGTTGTTGGTAGCCAACATCCCATGGGACTATGCATGGCAGGGGCGTCCTCCTCCCTGAGTCAAGCATTGTTGACTGCATACCTCCTGGCCCTCTCACTTTGGGGCCCAGCTGGGGTCTTTCCTCTTCATCCAGAGCCACTGACTGCTGCCTTCTGCCGCCTCCGTGCATATTTGCTGATCCACTCAAATTTGTTTTTATTGGTCACCTAAGACACATTTACTTATTCGAGTCTGGATCTTTTTAATAAGCCTTAACATGTTTTGTGAACAGTCTCACCCTGAGTCCAGTAATAGAAGAAAGCATCAGTCACGCCTCCAATACAGAAAAAGATATTTCGACTTCCGTTACGAGTAAGTATAACATCAGTCACACGTTTTTGTTTTATAGTCGGTACATTTTCTTAACATTTGATTTATTACGTAATTTTGTTTTGTCCATAGTTGACTTGTCAGAGGCTGATGGCGAGATGCCAAATAATACCATGAAACCTACAAGCTCTAAAACACCGGACCACCACGGTACCCTTACCAAAGAAGATGCACGGTCAGATCAGGCTAAGGAAACGACTGTGGGCTCTTCTAGATTTGAATTCTCGTCTAGTGCAGGTGCGAGGCCAAAGGAAGCTACCTCCACGCCTTCCATTGCCATTGAGAAGCTTGTTCAATATCAATTGGAGAAAAGTATGCGTCACTTGGAAGGGCATCGTTCTGACACGTTGTCAGAAGAAAAAGAAGCCTCATCTGACCAATCCCATATGAAGACCAAGAGTGTGTGGAGGTACCAATTTATAGTATTAAAAAAATTGTGAAATGTATTGAGAGGGTTTTGAATGTGTGGTTGTGTGGTAGCAGTCCCTTCTCTGTCCCGCAGAGATTCGATAAAGTTCTTGACAAATTTGTGATGTATAATGTACGCAGCCATTTGAGCATGTATGGTTATGTATCCATTGGACGGCTGAAATCTAATATGTTTATAAACATACACCGACAATGTCAGTATTTACCTCCATCTACCCTCAATTAAATAGTCCACTCTTTAAACCATGGTAATTCATGGTGGAATTAATCGACTGTCTTGTATAGTAGACTATTTACTGGCACTTTTACACGCTTTTATTTAACTCACTTCGTCTGTTGTATCCTCAAAAAAGAAATCTTGTCACTCAATTTTTACACACTTCCTAATGTGCTGTCGACTGCAAACTTGAAATAGCTATGTCATACTGATGACAACACTATATTCTATCATAAAAAACCCAAAACATATTTTTAAACATTTTGCACGCTTTTATGTAACTTACTGTGTGTGTTGTCTTATCCAAAAATCTTGTAACTCAATTTAAACCGTATTCCAAATGTCGTATCGACTGCAAACTTCATATAGGTATGTCATACTGATGACAATACTATATTCTATCATTACAAAAAAAATTAAACAATCTTTTTAACGGCTCTTAATTGTCCAGGCTCAACTGACGTTGCCTGTAAATCACCACGGTCCCTTACGTCACGGCAAGCCACGGGGAGCTATGCCCAGGGGCAGGGGATGTGGAAGGAGGGGAGGGGCGATGGGGGAAGGGGGCAGGGGGAGGGGCAGCTCGGATAGTACATTTCATTAAAGCGTGTTTAAAAAAAAGTATTTTTAAATATTTTTTATTTCTTTGTAAGTCGGTGAAAGTTTGCATTTTGTAGTTCATTTCTGTAAATCGATACAATGCAATGCTGTTTTTAACTCGAATTCATGTGTAATTGTGATTTACTTGTGATTACCTCTGTTAATCAATACCATTGTGTTTGTTACATGCATATTTGTTTTCTCCATGCCTAAATAAATCTTCTCTGCACAGTCAGCCTAAAAATAAGGTCACGAATGCCAATTCCACGGACAAAATGATAGATCCCAAAGGTATGGAGGCATTGAATCCAGTGGCAACACTGCCTCAACAAAAGCAGAAGCTTCCACCGACTGCAGATAATTCAACTTCCTCAGAGGTGGAAGATGAGAGAATTAGCAACAAATATATGGTGAGCTTTAGAAAACATCTCTTTGTGTACATAAGCTCCTTTTGAGGTGGTGCGTAAGTGTAATTCTGAGAATACCTGACTTGCGATTTAGACGCTGTTGGTTCGATCTCTCCGAATGCGGCAGTTGAAACACCCAGCAGCACAGATGTGTTACTTCCGCAGTCGATTGGCAGGTTGCACGTGGTGGGATAAAGTGTGGGTACTCATCTATTTTAAGATGCCTGGTCAGCATGTAAGATGAACACAGGTTTTCGCGACTAATATCCACAGAGGTTTTTTTGGGTTAGATCGGGTTTACTCTGCAACACACCGGTGTGCTGAGCTAGTAACGAATTGGCACTTTTTTAAACGTGACAAACCTTACTAATTGGCTGTGTCGGGTGGTGGCGGGCTTAACGACACATTTATATTTACGCGCTCTAACCCAAAATGATCTCTCTAGTGGACAGCATGTAAGACTAGGCCAAAATACTTTCTAGAGCCCTCTTCAGGGGAGGTGCTTCTGTCGGCAGTTGTATGGGCAAATTAATTGTTTGGATGCACCTGAATCATCATTAACTGGTGTCATAGTTTCATCTGTGTGGTAGTTTATCCTCTTGTCCGGCAGTGGTGGTGTGTGCCTGTAATCCAGCACTCGGGAGGTGAGGTTTGGTCGATGACACACTTTTGAAACTCCCGTTCAATGGGCATCGAGGTGCCATACCTTGGCTTGCCAGGAGAAAGATGGAACAAAGTGTGGACGAATCTCCATATTCCACCTTTTATGGGATAGTGTTGCCCCCCCCCTCGCACGCATTTGGTTTCTGGTTTCTTCCCACGTGTATAAACACTCATTGACTGAAACCTATCAATTTATACATGCGCTTTCGTATTTGTGGGGTTTGCAGCGTTGTGTGATGCAGTTGCATAAGGGGCCATCCATTTAGTACGTACGCAAAAATCTGTCAACTTGACCCCCCCCCCCCATCCCTGTACGCACGTGTAGTTTTTACACCCCCCCCCCACCGACGTACGTACGCTTAACGCACCCCCCACCCCCGAATCCTAAACAACGGCCGATATTTAATCCACGCAGAAACGATCAAGGATTAATAATATTAATGTGTTTAAGCAAACAGTCCACCGCCGGACTATAACTCATTTGAAGACCAATGTAGACAAATTATTATCAAGGCTTTCCCCCCCCCCCCGTTTCCTATGCGTACGTACATTGTCAGTAGACTCCCTCATACGCAAGCGTATGGGTTAACCCCCGTCCATGCATACGTACGAAATGGATGGCCCCTAAACGGCACAAAAAAAGCTACATTTCTTGGGTGTGCTCTTGTATCTAATTCCACTGTGTAACAAAAAAATGTTTTGTTCCTGGGTAGTAAGTGTTATTTCCTAATTACTTATGCCTCAAATGTACATGAATGGCTATTATTCCCCACAAACGTTGCTTTTGTGACCAGGGCACAAAAGCAAAGTTTGTGGGGAATAATAGCCACTTTCTGTACTTTGTAGGCATAAGCGATTTAAAAAATAACATTTAGTACCCAGGACAAAAATTGTGTTGCATAGTGTTTTCATTTTGACTAGTTTTGCCCAGCAGCTAGTATGCCTTCTGTTGTGTTCTAGCCAAGCCTGTTTTCTTAAGTTAATATAATTAATTATCATTTGTTTTCTGATGTGCTTATCTCTCCATGTAAAATTGAGCATCCATCTCTCCATGCCTCTTTGCATGCTTTCAACGTTCATATTTTGTTCAGTAATAGTGGTACGTTTTTGTCCAGAAGTTAAATTTCTCTCCAATTTCTCATGAAAGGGGGTAGATAATTCCCCCTCGCCTGGTATGCAGGAGGCCGTGGGTTCTATCCCGACCTAACGCCTGTATATTTGGAGTTTGCGTGTTCTCCCCGTGGTCGCATGGATTTTTCTCTGGGTCATTTGGTTTTTTGTCCCCACATTTAGATTATTTGGCTGCAACAAATTTCCACGTCATCAGCCACTTCGTTGAGTTGTCATTTGTGGCCAGGTCACTTCTGAAAAAATGCTAAAATATTTTAGTGGGCTTCAGCTGTTAAATAAAATAGTTTAGTTTTACAATCTTTTTAGTGTTGATACATTTATTTGTTTGATTTTCTGTTTTAGGTTAAAAAAGTACCAGCAAGTCTTGAACCTATCAAAGCACCTAACACGAAGAGTCTTATTATGTCAATTGCTGGAAAGTACAATGACCTTGGTAAAAGGATCAGGTAAAACCAATTTTATTTACTTTCATATAGGATTGTGTTGATAACCATTCACATATTTATCTCATTCATTGGTATGTATGCCAGTGATGTGATGTGTTGTTCATGTGACCACTGGAGGCGCTGCACTGCAGCTGAATGTGCAATATAAGTGCGATCCAGAATTGTATCAGATAATTGAATTCTGAGCGAGGTGAATTGTTAAGGGCCTAGACATTATACATGCCATTGTATTGGTATAATGTGTGATCGATAATGGGAGTGTTAAGAAGGAAACGTGAATTAACAAATAGCCTTGATTTCGAATAACCTTGTGCCTGTTTTATTTGCACATCTGATACAGCTTTAAGCCGACAAAAAAAATATACGAATTTCAGAGTGATAAGGTAGGTTCCCATTTTATTATTGTACTTAAAAATGTAAACGTGAAGATTAACCATAAAGACAAGGGCCACTTTTATCTCTTTCCTCTATAGCCGTGCTCTATGTTAACGTGAAATGTATAGACCTTGGAAGTGAAGTTGCCATCTCCGAGTGCCTTTGTGTTACGTCCTGTGATTTATAATGCAATTAAATTAATGTGTTTTCCCTAAGTGAGAGTGATACAGTGTTATTCCAATGTCATTGTATTCTGCCACTGGTATATTAAATATGCTGTGAATAAAATAAGTTATTATTATTTGTGGATATTTTGATTATGATACTGCATATTTATCATTGGTTGCTTTTGGTCCTTTTTTAATGGACAAAGCTGTTTGATGATGTGCTCAAATGTTGGATTATTTTAATTTATCTGATTAAGAGCTGTGCTAATGGAGACATGTAAAGCTCAATTTGTTTGTAGGTGCCTTCCAAAGAAACCGCACTGGATTTAGACAAAGAACATGTTGGGTTGACGGTCTCAGAAAAAACCCCAGAAAGGTGACCCAAAACCTTGAACAACATTTAAATGTTTACACTTGAAGATTTGTTTAAGGAACTACACATAATTTCAATGTAAATCATTACATTTAAAATATATCCGATCCAGGGTCTTGTATTAAAATAAGCAATGTCATCGGCTTGCTGCTGTCATTTCCATGGCAGTAATTATTTTGAAAAGATTGAAAACTAATTTCTTTAGAACTGCTTTTTGTGTTTAGTTTGAACTTTTTCCGCACCTCCGATTATATTATCACGGTTAGCTACGTGTGGTGCGAAGGAAGTTCAACATATATATAATTATTTATAGTGATAGGCATTTTATAGATTCCAGACATACATTTCAAACACTTTAAAGATATATGTACATGTACAGCCATTTGTTGATGAAATGTTAGACTGGAGCGTCTCCACGCCATGTGGGTTGTAGGCATGACATTACCATACTTCACCACACTGGTCAGTGTGGGTTTATGAAGGTGGGGATCATATATGTGCCAGGACAACAATGCATTTCGCTGTACTGGCCTGCTGCCCTGCAAGTGGATATGAGTAATCATTAGTAGAATCATTAAGTGACTTTTACTTGGGTACAGTATGTTATCCAATTTAGATATAAATATTTTGTCTGAATGTCTTGATGAATTAGAAATGCTCATGAAATAGCACGGTGTCGGATGTACTCCAACAAACTGACTTCATTATTCATGCTATGATGATGCAGTTTTGTGTGTGTGCCAAACCATTGACGTAATCTTTAAATAAACCATTTATAAGATTGGGATGTAGTAGCGGTGCAGTGGCTCGTGCACGACGAACCTGCCAATCTGAGGTGCGATTCTTCGTCATGGCTAACATCAGTTGCAAGTAATATCTGAACCGGTCTTCTCGTGTGGTAACGTATTGTCGGGGGAGGCCTCCTTTTAGAAGTAGGTTGAGAATGGCTTGCAAAGGATGTATTGTTAATGTAGTCTATTTAAATTGTTATGTTCAAATTTATGGTTTCTGCCTGCAGGAGCTATATTTATGATTTTAGCAGTGGAGGAGAGGAAGACACGTCTGTAAGTTGTATGCTTTTGCTGTTGTGAATTGTCTTTGGATTTACACATTGTATGGAATTTAATTTTAGCTGAATTAGTACAATAAGTATGACCAAATAGCCAGTCATCAAAGAAACTTGATTTTCAGAGTAAAAAAGTTGTGACATTTGGACTTTAATAAGCTGTTGTGCTTTAACCTCGGCCAAATACACATCCTCAGAATAGTGTTTTTTTACATATTGGATCGATGAGTATTACCTATGTTTTGTAAATGTAGTTAAGTCACTATCATTACTTTGATGTGTACACTTTGATATGTGTTTTGAGTTAATATAAAACTTCTTCCAACTTTGGGTGTGAATTGTTCATATTTTTTCCATTTCCATGAATATTTAAACACTTTTGAAACGGTTTGTAAACTATTTGTATATCATGTATATTATTAAGAAATGAAAAAAAAATTGTTTTTGTTTACAGGAAACTACTGCAGCTGATTCTAAGAAAAGGTAAAGCTCTTGTCTTGATCTTCTTGGTTCTTTCAGTAAAGTCACATGACTTTACCGAAAGAACCAAGAAGATGAATCCCTGCAGTCACGAAAGTTTTAAATCGAAACTCTTGTCTTGAATTTAATATTTATCCAGAATTGCATGGGTGAGATGTTTATATCACATGATCATCGTTTGCTCTCGGTATACATTTTTAACAGCATCTGCTAGTTGTCGCCTAGAGACACTGTTAAGGAAGGCAACAGGGAAGGCGACCTCAACTGGGTTGTTTCTTAATTCCAACTCAAGAACCCAAGCAGCAAGCGTGGTTTTGCGTGAAGAGGTTGGAGTGGGATGAGTTGGGTGAGGGAGCCTGTGCCCATGGACCTGTTCTTGGGTGGAGAACTTGAGGGTCCAGCGTTTGTGGATTTCATATTCTATGGCTCTTTCGGTAAAGTCACATAGATTGAAAAAATAATAACAATAAAAATGAAAATAAAGTTATTCACGTTATTTTCAAAAATTAAAATAAATCACATTATTTTAATATTTTATTGTTATTTTTTCTATGTGACTTTACCAAAATAACCATAAAATATGAATTCCTGCAGTAACGGAAGTTTTAAGTCAAAGTTTGTGGATTTGTTAAGTACAATGGTAACTTGTTATTTTTTCTCTAGACAAAGGAAAACCAAACGACATGGAACCGACAAGATTAACAACACGGGCAACATGTCTGCAAAACAATCGGGAAAGGTGAGCCCTTGCCTGCCTTGGATAGTTATTTCCACATTAGTGGATGCTCATGCAGCAGTTGACCTTAGAATTTTGTTTTTTAACTGTATAATTCAATACGTTCCACATTTAGTTTTTTTCTCCTTTCGCCAGAACGTGAAGAAATTGGGCAAGCGTCTGTTCTCAGAGACAGAAAGTGACGCTTTGACAGATGCCAAGAGTGATGTCAGCTGGATCGTAAAATCCTCTGAAAAGAAGAAGCCCAAGTTGAAAGGATACTCGTCTAGCAAGATAAATATAAACGCAGTCTCTGCTCAAAGTAAACAGGACATATATTACTGTTCCAATGCATAGCCTACTTCAATCTACATGTGACTGACAATTCTGTACATACTTAAAATTTTATTTAGAGAATAACAAAACAGTGCTTAAAAAATATTTTTTAACTTGATAAATGATTATTATTTCCACGTTTGGAAGACGGTTTGTTGAATACAAATGTCACATCTCTTATTCGCAGAGACATTTCTTGCAAGCACCCCTTCCTCTTCGACCATCAGGAAACGGGTAATTATTGGCTGCAGAATATTTAACATGTAAATGGTTTACTCTTTGTATTTGTGAGCTCATGAATTACATGGTGCATGTTTGGAAAAAGAAAATGTCCTTTATTCGTATTTGTTCTCTGATCCATACATTTTGTGTCTCCGTGCAATTGCTGGCCTGCATCTCTCCATGCGTCTTCGTGTATCTGTCAGATTCTATTCCACTTTCGATTTCATTGTCTAGGTTTTTCATCCGTGTAATTCATCCAGCGTGCGCCTAATCGCTCAGCCATGCAGGCATTTTGTACTCGTAGAAAACTCCTCTTTGGGCCCATGAGTATATTACTACAATCTTCTCTCTCGTTTCTGTTTTACCAATTTATTGCCTGTCCACCTTCAATAATGCCCCATAGATATAGAGATATATCGTTGAATTATAGTTTTGTTTGCTCTGTTAAACCGTTTGCATTAATTATAAATGACTAGCTTTACTACCCGGCTTTGCCCGAGACTTGGATTCTTGTCATGGATTTATACACGGCCTACGCAGAGGGTGGGGGGGGGGACATTAGCAGGCACACTGCGTAACGCTGCCGCATGCGGGTGACATCACGGATGTGATGATATATTCTTCACACATGGTTCAATTAATGTATTGCCAGTGTATAAGTTGTAATTGACGAATCCATGCATCATTTCATGCCTCCATGGAAATGCATAATAGATAAACAATTTGTTTACATGTTACTGAACACAAACATGTAAACGCAACTGTGTTTATGTAGGGAACGCAGAAGAACGCTCCTTCAGTGACTGCCGAAAGAATACCCTTAATAAACGCAACAATAAAGCCCAAGGAAAGCAGAAGTGGTGATACAGATGGAAAACCAGCATCCTCCAGAAGATTTGTGCAAGGGAAGAGGCAATTAAAATCTCAACTGAGCAGACAAATGGACAGCAGAAGCAGTGACGATGAGTCGGGATCTAAAAGGAAGGGTGACATGCCTAAGGAAAAATACCCTGCAAAACGTAACCCACCTCAGCCCAAACGCCCGAGAAGGGCAGCAGCAAAGAAGGCGGTTTACAAAGACGTGTCAGATGACGAGATTGAAAACGATCAACTTTTGGACACTGAGGAATATGAAACTGCATCCCATACAGTGGTAACGTAGATGTTACATTTATTTCCAGTAAACAATACTGTAAATGTTTTACTTGCCTTCATGCGTTTACCAAAATGTGAGGTAGAATGAGCATGACTGGAGAAGGCCTTGTCTAAGCTTGGTTATAATAACTTTGGGTGAAAGGTGTAATTTTCAACTTTGAGTAAAAGGTTAAACAATTAACTGTTTTGCTGCTTTGAATTTAATCACCAGATACCCCTTGAAACATCTTTGTCTAAGAATAGGGGTAACAAGTCCGGCGTCGATGAAAATGATCTGCCTCGCGCTGCTTCTCCAGAAACACCCTCGTCGATCGAGAAGCCAAGAAGTGAGTTGACTTGTTCAGTAGGTAGTATATAATTGCGTTGATAAAAAAAAAAGTTTTTGGTCGTGGGGTCTCATAATCTTTGCCCCCCTCATGTCTGAATTGTTGGTTCAAAGTTTGTACGCATTTTCTTTTCATTTAGATTACAAACCTTTTCTTTCGTGGTTGTAATTTGCATTTAGAATTTCGTAAAACGTACCTAGTGAAGCTGGATTTAAGCACACTGTTGGTAGCAAAGCCTGGTGTGGTTATGCGTGGTGGTCTAAAAGTCATGCACATAGGGTTATTATATTTACTAACAAATCACGTAGGGTTATTTCATTTATTTGAAGAAATGTTCAAATTAACTTACATTAACATGAATGCAGGCATGCATACATTCTCTTTTGAAATTATTTTAGGACTTTTTTTTAAGATTACAGGTATAATATTTAAATTTTCATCTTTTTTTTTTGTCTCGGTTCATTCAGGGATTTGAGGTGACCCCACAAGAAAACGAAAAATAGATATTAATAACGATAATAGATCAAATTATATCTTAAAACACTAAACTGTTTAAACGTTTAATGGCAGCGTTCAAATAAATTAAATTACTATATGTTTCCTAACATTTGGGCCACCCTCTATACAAATTGTGTTTGGATCAGAAGTTGCCCTTTCCCCAACCACTGGAATGTGATCTGTTGCTTCGTTCAAAGCTGTACTTATACATGGTGTGCTTATGTCCAGCAACTGTTGTATGGTTGAAAACGATCACAATTATGTTTTGAAATTGGAGACTTGAGAAGATGTACTTTTGCTGTTTGTGAAAATGCAGGTGAGAACTATTTGCCAGCTGGAATAGTAGAAATATACAACCGGCCACTCGCCGCCTCGCCAATGCCATCCTTGGCTGAAAAGTCGTTCAGCCTTGGGTCGATTTCCCCTGGCTATGTTGAATCGCCTGCTTTGTCACTTGTGATCCCTGAAAACTCACTCTCCAACAATTCACAAGGTTCACCAATTGCTAAAGAGGTATGAAAGCACATTGAGGAAAGAGGTGATGTTGATTTATCATGTTTTCATGAATGCAATATAATCAATGTATTTTCGAGTGTTTTATGACTTAATGTTGCTGATTTAAAATAATAATTAACTTTTGACTTTTCAATCTTAAACTTAACCTAGGGTGCAAATTAACTGTTGAAATTCACTATCAAGCGAGGATAATATAATCAAGTTATTTGCTTTTACCTTCTCTTGCAGTTCCCAGAAAGTATAATGAACACTCTAAGTCAATTTGTGGACGATATTGATGAAGACTCTATGTTGCAGTCTGAGTCCAGCCCAGAGGCATCACAGGCTTCACAGCAGACTTTTAAACGCTGCTTGTATCAGCCGTCCAAGCTGACCAACTTGAACACTCCCACAGAGAAATGCAGCTACGCACCAGAACCCGTTAGTACCTTCGCTTCACATGGGCTACGCACGTTTTGCTTTCACTTAATTTTTCATAGACGGATCGTTCTGAATGTTACGTGCACTGTTGTGCTGTATTGTACACGCACGTGTAAAACCCCTTTGCCAATCAACTACATTGACCTAGTGCTTCCCCACTCTGCGTGGGTCAGGGGTCTTGTTTTGTTTACGATTCACCATGCTGATCAGTGTGTGGATTGGTACAGGTGGATAGTTTATATATGGGAGCATGGATGTATAGTATAACAGGAGTTTTCCGCATTGCCCTTGGCTGACCACCAAGTAGCACAGTTCCACAGCCGTCTGACGACACTGTGCCCAATGTGGTTGCCCATCCAAGCTCAATCCAGATTTGATGAGAGGGGAATTCTGGGTGATTTGGTTAATTGTGGTGGATTGTGGGAAATAACATATAAGACAAGGGACTGTTTTACCACAAACAGAATAAAATAAAATTGTAATCCATTGGCCGATGGGCTTTGTGGACTAACGTCCAATGAACGTGTTTAAGCAACGTTATGGGGATGTTTCCTTTTATATATTATTGCACCGATGTGTCGTGTATAACCTGCATTGCAATATCTGTTGGTGTTTAGTTATTGAATACACCTCCGTCAACATCTGCCAAGAAGAGCCTAAAGTATAAGCAGGCGCGTAGAGCAGGTCAGTTTACCAGACGGTCATACACCCGGCTGTGTTTGAAATGCATGGCATTTTAGGCACAGTGACCTTGAAGTGTACACATTTCATGATTGCAGAATGAGTGAAAAAACTTGAATGAGAGTTTCACACTGCATGAAACAATTACAGTTGTACACATTTGTTTTACCAGCGTTTGACCGTTCAAGAAAATGCTCAATACAGCCAAGTGAAAGACAATCTTCAGAACGTGCCACTTACGACGAGATGAACGAGACGATTTGTTCCAGACAGTCTACACTAAAACCAAAAAAGCTGTTAAATTCTGCAGCAGTAGCTATGGTTTCCAACACAGCAGGTGATTGAACTCGTTGAAACCACTCTACGTGGAGTTTCTATTTTCTCCTCTTCTGTGTGGTTTTGTTCCAGGTTTTGAAGAGTTTCCTTCCACAGCTAAATAAATATAAAATGGACTGTATAACTGTTATTGGTTAACATTCCAATGCTAAATATGACGTGAAAATTATTCCAATTGGGATTAGACAGCAACATTGTCCGCCTACTGCAAACATTTGGGAGGACCCTTCTGAGACTCAATTAGGCTTTCATGGGTAAACAAGCATATCAATACATGTGATGTGTAATCGATTTTAAATATATATTTTTTATCACGATTCGTCCATCCCATTCACAGGTAATATCACTGACATTCACGGAGGCTATTAAAAAACTTAACTTATACACACACAAAGTTGTTATTTCAACTTTACATCTGAATTATCTGCATCAAAGGTATTAATAGCGTGTTTTGTAAGTCTGAGGTGTTTTTGAGTTTCACGAAAGATTGGAGTGAAGCAGACATCATGCGATAGAACTCGAACACATCTGGGAGCGATTGAGCACATCTGCGGGAAACCTACTCAGGAACAATTAAAATTAAGTGCAAATTACATGGTTTTGGATTTATGACAATGAAGCAGTTACCATTACAAATGATAGAACAAATTGATAAGCAATAAAAATAAGGTGATAAAACATGATAATCTTTTTTGAATCAGATCTTGACCCGAACTGACACTTTTGTCCAAACACTGGTACGGGTCATTAGTTGCATGCTTACTAATTGAGCCATGATTCTTGTACCTGTGATTTTAAAGGTTACGCATGTACAGCTGTATTAAGCATTGCGGTGCACTTAAAAGTTGATACCATCAAAAGATAATGGGACATTTAATTAAATTAGCTAACATTCACTTGAAGAGCTCCATTACAGTGAGTTTTGACGCATTATGATGGATGATGTGACAACAGGTATTTTTGTTTATTGTTGTCTGCCGGCATGTTTTCAGATGACGTATCGAGCGACGATGCTTCGAGCGATGAGCTAAGTCTTGATGCAGACGTGGAGGAAATCGTTAATGATGACAGCATTGCCATATCGCTCAAAAACTTCAGCACCAACATAGTGAAAATTACAAAGGTAGCTTTAATGGTCATTTACCCACGTACATTATGAATCGTTTATTTTATTTTCAACGAGTAAACAATGAAACGACATTAACCCTCATCATGAGCTTAAATAGTAAGCCAGGTAAATTGTGTATCTATATATAAAAACACGTATTGCTCGTGATGGTTCACTGCCGCATGAAGACTTCACGCAATTCAAATATTTGGGGTTATTTGACCACACTTGCTACGTTGGTGAGTACCGGTTGGTGAAGTGGTGGGGGGTGGTTTGGGGAGGTTGGTGATGGAGGGGTGGCGGACCCAGAACCAGATCAGGCATTGCTCACGACCAATGTTGACGGTAGTCGGGAATCGTAATTGCTTTATTCGTGGAGCAGTGCACTGAACATTGCACTCCCGCTCCACACACGTCACGTGGTTGAAATTTGTCCTGACTTTGGTACATATAAGTTACTTGTTATGTATATATATGCGGTGTTTAATGGACGGTTGTATAACTTATTTTGGTTGTTTAGATGTGTATGCTTAATTGTTCGGTTATTAGGATCTGTACACACAACTGTATTTTGATGAATGCAATGAACTAACCCGTTATAATACGTGTGACAGGCAAAGTATGACAAAATTGAGGCGTACACAAAGAACTCCCTACGGGTGACTGAAAATGAGATGTCCAAGCTGTGGGGCCAGATTCGACACCGAAGGTGTGTGTATGTTAAACACACAATAATAGCCGCAGTGCTAAGTGTGTCTTCGGCTGGGTTTTGTTATCCTTTTGAAATGTACTTCAGATTTCTCCATTCACAGGTGCAGCATTAATTGTGAGTGCCAGTTGGGGTGGTTTAACTCGGCCCTTCATTGTGCAAATAAGGACCGCTTTGAGAATTCAACATAGTGCGTGTCCTTTGGATATACTCCACCCTACCGTATGAATCTAAATCATGTACCACCGGCTCATAGATGCAAACTGGATTTAATTACAGCACCGCATTCATTTCAATGAGACACCCACTCCCTTGTAGTCTACGGTCTTTATATTGACGTGTGGTTCCCATGATGGTGAATTACACTTGTATTATTTAAAACAGTCATCCATGGTATTAATGCATTGTACTGCTTCGGTTAAACATGTAACAACATTCATAATATATTGTTGGGTTAGGCCACAACGATCTGACTAAATTTCTGTCGCAAAACCCACGACAACCTAAATTCATTGTCATGTGTTTGAGCATCTTAACACGCCAATTATTTTTTCGGCTCGCTGGTAAGTCAAAGAACAATTCTCACAACCAAATATAGCAATTGGAGTCGATGGAGGGAATGTGGTCTGATCATTACATGGCATATCCTAAAAAAACATCCTGAGTCATATTGGCCATTAAAACGTACCTGTTAGGCTACATAAGGATACGGATTTACATTTATTGAGACCTTAAATTCTCAAAATGCCTTGCCATTGCAAGTTAGAAACACAAAACGTGGGACATATGGATAATTTATTCAGGAATAACAAAATAGGGAGGCCCTGGGGGAGAATCTTTGTGCTGTCATGTTGTGTGAGGCAGACCCCAAGAGACATTCCACACCAACACAGCACAGAGGCTCCAGCAAATCCCAGGGGAAATCCCAGGCAAGTGGTGATAGGAGAAAATCCAAATTTGGAGAGAAGGGCCAAGAAAGGGACCAGAATATGAAGTGGAAACAAACACAGGCCTGATGCAATGGAGGAAAAATAACTAAAATAAAATGAACATGTATTCCATCGCCTAAATATTTAAGGATAAGAGAGGAGTAAAGCAAAACTTAAACTGAATAAGAAAATATTGCAGTGGTTGTTTAACTGCACATACCAACTTAACCGAGTGAAAAATAAGAAGATAGGCGCAAAGAACAAGATCCACCGACACATGGGCCATTACGATCATCGCATATATTTTTTGAATTCCCCTTGCAATATTTGACTTCCTATACTTAAACTGCATAATCGAGAGCGATGCGAATGTAATTGCATTGTATTTTTTACGTATCTTGAAGTGCATTTATATACGTGTGAAAATGCGTTTTGTGCCCTTCTAGGATTCAGAAAATAAAGCGCACGCAGAGAATACTGCTTGACGAACTGCAGAATGTGAATGAGGAAACCAAATTGCTTAAGGAGATGGAGAATGACATGCTGGTACGTATATTCAAGAGGTCGTCATGGCTAATGTCCGTTGAAGCCATCGCACTTCGCCGTTGCTTATTCCTTTCAATAGATCCCTTCGCCAGGTGACCATCGGCCCAGCTATTGTGATATCCGATGGTCGGCTCTGATGGTAGCTCACCGCCTGGCTTTAGATCGTCCACTCGATCGCCAACCTCTGGGCGCCTGTCGTGGTAACCTGCCCTCTGTCCCCAACCTGCACGTGTGTCCCCTCCACCCATTGCAACCTCCTTTCTCGTTTTATCTGGTTAAACGTGCGATGATTTCTTTGCCGTATAAGTTGCTTATCTTGTGTACCTCTGTAATTTATTGCATTATTTGCATGCACCTGTATTAAAAGGATGTTTTTTTTTTATAGTTGCACTGGTAAAGTCCAGTTCTGACACGCAGTGACACGGACGTTATGTTGAATAGGTGTGATCCCTTTTTAACAAGAAGTCAAAGCATGCTGATAAATGAAGCCACTCTTATCAGGTTCTATCTAAACTTTTATGCGATGTATTGTTGCATAACATATGAAGTAGATCCAGTTTAATCATACGATATGTTTCATTAGAACTTTTGGAAGAAACAGGAAAAATCTTTCACGACCTTCAGGATAAAGCAAGAAGAAAGGTTTGTATTTTAAGCAATTCATAATTGTCCATCAAACCCCGTGAATATATCTAAGCTTGTTAATTAAGAACGTTACATTTATGGAATTTTCACTCATGTAGTTTTTGCCGAATATTTAAAAATGCACTTGGCTTTCATTCCACACTTTTGTGCACGTGACGCTGAGAGGTGAGAAACCCTATTAAGAAATTCACAAATATACACTCACCGGTTCTAACGGCCTGCGAGTTCGAATAGCATGCTAGACTTTGGTTGGTGACTTATCACAACAGGGGGAGCCGACCTTGAGCACACAATATGATTTAGAAGATGGAGAACCATTCAAATCAGATTGGTCATTAGGGTAATTTGAAAGAGCCTGGGAAAAATATAAACTAATGCCAATGAGTGGCTTGGGAGAGTGCGAGGATAAATTAAGGGGATTGGTGGAGAGTCGGGGAAACATTCTAGAAAGGATGGGGAAGAGGATAAAATGAGTTGAGAGAAAGGGAATCGTGTTGCCTGAAGGCAGGAATTCCCTGAAGTGTTATGTGTTGTGTTGAAGACGTAATGAAGTCAGAGTTCAAGAGTTACCTGGGCTGGAACTCCTTGACACTTCCATTTAGTAGTTAGTCAGGTTACCATTTAGATTAGTGGAATTGTGTTTTTCAATATTTTTTCCCACCAGGAAAACATTTGCATAAAAAAAACATCAGAAAACGTTTTATTTTCATCAAACCTCACAGTGCATTTTAACGCAGAATGTTTACGTCCGGCCTTTTTGTTGTTAGTTTATGCAGCCATAGACTAACCTGGTTTAAATACCGGAATTGTTTTCTAGGCTGAAACGAATGCAAAGCCTATTTGTGGAAAGTCAACATCAGTCTGATAAGGAAGAGAGGACAATGATTGAAAATGGAGTAAGTATTCTCTATTTCGTTGTTTCTTCATGACGTTACACACTGTCGCCACTTTGCATGGTTTTGGATGTGTACAGCCCTTTTTTAACCCTAACTGCTGGATGAGGGCCTCCTAACACTTGGAGGGTCACGGGTTATTTTACATTACTTAACCGGTGAAGGTTTACATGTGGAAGTGTAGCAAGTACAGCACCAACATCTAATGCTTGCCACACTGTGCTTTCTTCATGATAAAGTATTTTGGGTCGGATCGCGTAAGTATAAATGTGTTGTAACCCTCCACCCGACGCAGCCAGTAAGGTTTGTCACGTAAACAACGCGCCTATTAGTTACTACATCAGCCCACCGGTGTGTTGGAGAGTAAATCCATAACATTTACAATTTGAGTACCGACGTTTCGCTGGTAATTGCATCCAGCATCAGGCGATTTGCCAGAATAGTGACGTAATCCACGTGCTTCCGGTCTTAAATAGAGCAAGATGACATCATAACTGTAAACCCATCAGGTGGAGAGATCAGAAGGTGGAGGGGGGGTTATTGTAATTATATAATAGATTAGTAATCAGTTAATTAGCATACGTTTACTCTGTAAGGAATACAAGTTGTAAGATGTATTACTTAATACGTTTCCAGGCCGCACTGTTATGAATAATATTGATCGCGAAAGCCACGTGTTAAACTGTGCTCTCTGCTGCCCAACGACATAGCCACGCAGCCTCTACCAACAACCTTGATATGATTGGATGATGGTTGCCAATCCAAGCACTGTGCAGGATCAATCTGGTTTAGTTTCTGAGATGTGATGGGAGTGGAAGCATTTTTAGTGATCTATTTGGAAAGTAATATTTGAAAGATTTTTAACACCCATATTTTATTGCAATTGTTTTAGACTCGGACACTGCGGGAAGAATTGAAAGTCTGCCAAGACCGCCTTTTGAATGAAGCTGTAAGTGTGCAACACATTTTAACGAGCTTATGAAAAACTACTGGTAGAAGGGCCTTCATTAGGGGGAGCTCTATCGAGCCCTTCGAGTGTGTATTTGGCCTACCCTTTTATGCTGGCCAGACTTCTTGAAGAGTTGGGAGTATACCCACATTATACCTCGCTACACTTGCCTTTGACTGGTGTACGTATTAATGCTACTGATTGGACAGAGGTGAGAGTATTTGAGATGCGTTTGCTCCCTTGTTTCAACGATTGCACCAGGAGATTTAACCATTGATCTCTTGATTGTAAGTCCCCCATGTGCGAACCTGGTCTATATTTCACTTGCATTGTAAGCATGGTTTGTAAGGTAATCTTTGGCTCTTCGTCATATTGTTTCTACAGCAAAAGGAAGAGCTGAATCAAGTTCGACAAACGCTTGAGGCCACATTCACGTCTGCTTACATTTGAGGGAAATGTTCCAGACAAGGAAGAACGGCGTCCATATTAACTACAGGAAGATTGAAGTTGCATTTTCAAAATATACGTATGCCAAATATCTAGATGAATGTTAATTTAATGAGATGTACAGCGCTGATATGTACATTGATGAACTTTATCAGTGCGTGATAATTATTCATTGATCTATATTTAATTTTCGGTTATGCCACACGCTAGTTTCATGCCAACATTCTTATCATTGACAATGAAATACAAGGTAAAGCTTCGGTCCGACAATGAAATACAAGCTGCAGTCCTTAAATTGCTGACTGGGGAAAAAAAAAAAAATTTGTTGTCATAATTACTTGGTGACCTAAATCCAAAAACGAATATAGGTCATTGCATTTATTGGCTACAAAAACCTACATTTGAAGTCTTGCGAATTATTGTTATTTAATGGTTAATCCAACATCCTCTTCATGCAAATTTAGCGTAAACTAAAGCTTTTTTCACGGGCAATGTTGCCCATGTTGATTTTTGTTATCGATTGAATTTCTAGTGGCGAATCTTACGCATGTACTTGTTTGATAAGCTTTAGAATTAAACGCTTATGAAAACCTTACAAGCTACGGTGTGCTGCGTAGATATTTTAACTGCGGGGTCTTCATGGTTTGAAACGGCGCGGCATTGACGTCGATTGGGAGTCGATGGTCACGCGATACGCCCTGCTGGTGGTGAACAATTCGGGATCGAGACACAATCTCGTTCTACGATTGGAGGACGAAAATAAAATGTTTAAAAATAATTACGTGTCTCGACCGGCAATATCCCCTCCCCCCCCCCACTTCAAAAAGGTCAAACCACAAGTACAACCGCCGTGGGAAAGATGTGCCACCCGGCGTACTTGTGTTCACAGGCAAGTGTCGCACGCAAAAAAAGAATCGCGATATAGGTTAGAAGTGCGATCTTGGGTCATGGAGGACAACGCGACAATGGTAATTGGTATAGCAAAGAACACGGTTCCATTTGAAGTGCCTTCATTGTGTGTTTTTTATTCCCAGGGCTGAAGCACTCGGCATGATTAGCAAACTTACAAGATCATCAACATTACTTTTTTATTAGCCATACTTTTAAGAATCACACTTAAACAGTAGTTTGTGTACATGAAGGCACATGCTAGTCGCACATGCTAATTTTAATAATATAAGGTAGTTTACAATTGTTTAATATATAATATTAATATATTTTTTCATTGCAATTTAGTCGTACAATTATGGTGTGTGTATGAATACTTTCATGTGGCAGTCAAGTAGCATGTGTACAGTATTAGTATTGCCTTTTTCTTAACACTTGGAAAAAAAATTAACTTAATACTTTTTCCATAACCTGTATATTCAAAGGTCATGTGATGGCTAAAAATTCACACCACGCACCAACTGTAATATCGAGGTGTGACCTTGACAGGCAACTCTTCCACTGCCTACACGAGGACTAATAATCTCATCACAGGTTCCACGCCTGCTTGTAAATTACATTGTAATTCACTCAAGGAGAGCGCCAAGGCCGAGGTGCCCGTTACAGTTGCGTTTAAGTATCGTGTTGCGAAGCTTTCGGAGCCACGGTTTTCTTCCGTTGTAAGAATTCACTTTTTCGGGGTATAAAAATACACCGGTTTCTCACCTGTGATTCTTAAGCTCACGGGTACTTGACGTTGAATTGTGCGAGAATATTTATGAAATGTATTCGTGCGATCCCACCTGCAGCTGCTCGAGGCTGATACGTTTGCCACAAAAAATAGTGATTATTGAATCGAATCGTGGTCCTGAGTCAAAGCAGTTGATTGAATCGTAGTGGCTGGGAATTATTTTATTTCTCCAATACAAATGTAGCCCCAATGATTACTCACAGGCATCTTAGGAAATAATTTCGATTCTGTCAACATGATTAGATGGCATATTTATACTTTATATTCAGCAATTCCAATTGGAGAATTTTTTTAGTTGCTATCTTTCATTGAAAAATAACTTTTCAACAGAATTGACAATGGCCTACAACTTTTTAGCTTTACAAATATTTACTTGTAAGTTGTTTGAGTTTTCAGAATTTGGACTTATTTTAAAATAAAATATTTGCCCCTATTTTTCTTAACAACCCCTTTACAAAAATCAAGCTTTTTATAAATTTCCAAAACCTATGTAAAATGTCCACCTTGCTGATGACACTGCTGCTCGTTGACATTCCAGCAATGCCAAAATATACATGTCGATTAATTGCTGGCATCGTGAATAATTAACATTCAAGCTTTAAAAAAAATCAAGCTACAAAAACTTCACCTTTCCTTACACCGGCAGCCACTTTAAAGGAATTGTATTCTTCCTGGATTATTGCGCTTACACGTTCTGCACCCCCTTACGCGGCTCAAACTCCTGGAATGCAAAACCGTCTTGCCCTTGTCGGCCAGGTAACCGGTAAAATCATCATTGTGCTTAATTTAGCTTTGCAGGTCAACAAAAAAAAGTAAAGCGTTTAGTAAAAACAAAGTGAACGCAAGACATGGCTGACCACGGGGTTCTAGTTTTGGACTAATCGCGTCACGCGTCTCGTCGATGTTTCTGCAGTTGCCGTTGCGTTTTCACTGTTGCCTGTGGTCATTCGGAAGTCGATGTCTGGTGGGAATCACCTCAGTCCAGAGCAACCTTCTTGCGAACGACAGTCCTGGTCTCCACGGTGATGGAGTGTCCATTGCTGTAGCCGTTATAATCGCCCTCTTCCTCTCTCGATTTCAAGTGTCGTCTTGAACGACTCTTCTTGTATGTCTAGGCCGGACGGGAATGGGATGAGTGAGAACAGGCATTGTGCGCCATTCCCTATTGCGTGTTTCATCGGGTTGTACCGGAGTGTTGTTCGGCATGATGTCTGACGTTTTGAAGTGTCTGTTCCTGAGGAAGCTCCCAGCAAGTGGAGCGAAACGTCAGACGTCGTGCCGAATAACCCGCGATACAACCTGGAAACGCCTCGGAGGTATACAGCACAACCTCGAAAGCCAACGTAACAGGATGCATTGCGTACAACTTGAAATGTCCTTACAAGAATCCAGTGTGCATTTTTGTTAAATAATGTTTTAATATCAGAAACAGCTAGGGTTATAAACGGGTACACTTTTAAAAACTAAAGAATCGGTGGTGTAGTGTGGCTGCTATGCTGAGGAGCACCTCGTGTTAGGAATTAAATAGGGCCCATTTGTCTGTCTTTCCACACAACCCTTTGTAGTTCCACTGCTTGGGCCCCTCTGGCTGGTGGGCCCTGGTGCAGTTGTGCTGCCTGCACACTCGATGTCTACAACCACTGATAAGGGTGCTTTTAAAGAAGCAAAGTTGGATCTGAGAACACAAATGTTTCTGCGTAATGTACAGAACATATCAGAGGTCGCAATCGGGTACCCGATACCCGTACCCTACCCGATACCCGGCTACCCGTACCCAGCTGGGTACGGATAGCCGTTTGCGACCCTGGTGCGGCCGGGTACGGGTAGGCCGTGAGTCACTGGTGAATAACCGTTTGTCACTCATTTCGGGTAGGGTACGGGTACAAAGTACCCATTTGCGACCCTGGTGCGGCCAGGTACGGGTAAGGAATCGAAACCTGTTTGCGACCTCTGACGTATATTCACGTGTGTATATATACACACACTCCCACCAACTATCGGCATTCTTAAGTGCAGCATTAATCAGAATCTGTATTTATCCTGGAGGAATCCGATGAGCTATGAAGCTTTTTTCCCCCCACATGTCCAGTAGGGGCATGGAGTCAGAAAGTTACAATAAACAATACTAAAACTGAGACCCTTTTTTTGTTTTGCCATTCTTAACCGATTATTTTTCAAACTCTGATACTGGCAACACATTTCCTGCAGATATGACTGCTCAATCCCCAGCTAGAACTGCTCTAATATGTGGATCGTCTTTGTATTATTCGCCTTTTGGCATTCTCTGGCCTGACACTGGTTTTGAGACGAGGCTACAAAAGAAGGCCGTTTCTTGTGTAGGCCAGTCCGTTTGAAAGACAACGCGTATGTTGACATGTATTGCCACAAGAACGTGTGGTTAAAGCAGACTTTATTCCTTGCAATAATTATCTTATTTGGCGTTCGAACATTTTAACACCTGTTTTATTGCGAGAAAGGGTAAAAACATATTCTTGTTTTTTCATACAAAAGCCTTTGGCCACACGTATGGCAATGACGTAACAACCACGAAAAGCTCACCTTTATATAGAAGTTGATGAAAAACAAGGTGAGGGAAAACATGTAGCCCGTCAGGAACATGAGCCACGGGATGGAGAAGCCACAAGGCCACACGATGGCAGATATCGTCTGCCCAATTGTGAGTACAAACTGGATCTGTAAATCGAAAGCAAATGTGTGGTGGGTGTCATCGACATGCAGCGAATCCGTTTCCCCGTAATTTTTGCCACAATATTCTTAAAATCACCAGCTTGGCACCAATTGTGTCTGAAAGTTATGCAGCAACGTAGTTGTGCTCATTTAACTGCGCTGTATAGTATCGTTGGTGCGATGCGTTCATTTACTTTGTGCAGAAAGCACATTTATGATATCCCAAATATTTTCTACATTTCAAATGTTTAAAAAAATCACGTAGATGTTGAGGCCTCTTATTAAACCACTGCCGGATGAGGGCCTTCCCACATCTGTGCAGGGTTTTAGATTTTTTTTTACCATATTTCACCACACTGGTTATTGCAGTTTGGTGAAGGTGGGGGGAGGGGGGTAGTGGAATTGCTGGAAAAGCAAATTAGTGTCGTGTAACAACGGATTTTCCTTTTTAAAAGCTGCCCTGTGCTTCTTCCTGTGTCCCCTTGTGTATCTGCTACGTGCCTCTTTTACCCCGTGGCTCTCTCCTCTTCCCTGTCTCCCTCCATATTCCCGTATCTCCCCATGTCCTTGGGATGCCATGGTAGCGAGATGTTACCTACCTCGCCTGATTTTCAGGAGGTCATGGATTCGATCCCAACCCTGAGATGCCTGCTGTATATTGGGAGTTTGCGTGTTCTCCCCGTGGTCGCGTGGATTTTTCTCCGGGTTCCCCGGTCTTCCCCTCCACATTTAGAATCAGCATGCATTTCGAGTATTTGGCTGCTATAAATTTCCACGTGATAAGCCACTTAGTTGAGCTATCATTTGTGGCCAGGTAGCTTCTGAAAAGGCGCTATATAGTAGCTCAGTGGGCTTTACTTGGTTAAATAAAAATAGTTTAACTTGAGTAAGAGTATCCTTCCTTGCCCTTCCTTGCCCTCATTCCCCCTCTCATCTTGCCTCTCCTCCCCACGTCTTCCCCATGCCCCATAAAATATCCCTTATCTTCATGTCTCTCTCCTCCCCGTGTCTCCTCCTGCCCATGCTTCCCTCATGCCCATAGAGCTGTAAACACGACGTTTGATTGAAGTTCCCAAAAGACAAATTGAGTGCAAGGGTGTTGCATGAGTGCCTCACCAGCTGTGCCTGAGTGAGATATTTCTTCCACCAGAGGTATGGCTGCATTGCAGGAATAGCTGCCAGCCCGTAGTAGGAGTACATCATGATATGAATGAAGCTGTTCAACATCGGCCCAAAGAAAGCTGCGAGGAATGAACGTGTTAGCGGGACAAGTCAGGGTCTTCAATAAATACACAACTCAAATCATCACAATTCGTATATTTAACATGTTATTATGCATTCTAGATTTGAAGCTTTCGTGACTGCAAGGATTCATACTCTTAGGCTTTTTCGGTAAAGTCACGTAGGTAAAAAATAAAATTAATAGAAGTAATAATAGAAATAAAATAATACATCACGACGTTTCGGAGGCAACACAAGTCTCCGTCATCAGGTGGGAGCGTCACACTGATGCAGTAATTTTAGCTGTGACGGTCCCACCTGATGACGGAGGCTTGTGTTGCCTCCGAAACGTGATTTATTATTTTATTTCTATTATTACTTCTATTAATTTTATTTTTTATCTACGTGACTTTACCGATAAAAACCTAAGAGTATTATTGTGGGGAGTTCACAGGTCGTCCAGCAACGGTTTCATTCTGTTGCTAGATGGAGGATGCTCCACACCGGCCAATACGGGTGGGTAAAGGACCGGTTCAGTTATCACTCATCACTGATATTAGCCCGGGCAGTAATTGAACTCGGGAGAGCAGTTTTTTTTCTTCATTAAATGGTACGCTTACCACTGCGCTACCATCAAGATATATGAGGTGCAGGATGGCAGGTTGGTGATTTAATTTAACTATGCTCCACAACAACCCATGAGGAGTAAAACAAATTATGCCTTTGGGGCCGTCCGTAAATGACGTCACGCGATTTTGGACGATTTTGACCCCCTCGTCACGCGGCGTCACAAAAAGTCAGACCCCCCCCCCTCAAATATGACGTCACAAAGCTCTGCCCCCCCCCCCCCCCCCAAATAAAACATGCTTCAAATCGCTTTAAACTATTGTCATTGTAGTGCGTATTTAATGTGGCGCTACACTCTGATGTTGTAGGAGAACACATTTATAAAAAAAAAGTATATTTAATTAAGTAGAACGTGTTGTCTATATTTCTTAAAAGTTGCACATTTTGATGTTTGATGTGACGTCACATTTCTCACCCCCCCTCGTCACACATCGTCACAAATGTCTGCCCCCCCCTAGGTGCGTGACGTAATTTATGGACGGCCCCTTTGTGGTTCCCCCCCCCCCCCCATGTTACCCCACTTGTACTGCTTCACTCAGAACTCGCACAGAGCAGTCCAACACTTCCTGTTACAAAACTTATCTGTGCAAGCGGACACAGGAGAGCTGCCCCTGAGATTCCGTCCAGTGACCTCTGATCTCCTTGTCCACGATGTATGCATGTTGAACTTATTTTGCATTGTGGGTAGCCAACCGTGCTTTTGTAAGTCATGGAGCTGGAAGTTTTGCCAAAACTCAACAGCAAAACCGACTTTAATTTGATGTGTGTGCATCATTGGTGCGTTCAGCTTGGATCATTACATCACTACACTGGGGGGTTCCGTTTAATCAGAGGCGGTAGCAACCTGGATTCGAGCCAAGGCTCTAGGATGTGCCAGGTCAACACTTTTACCTTTCATCCACTGGGCCACCCTCGAACACGTAACGCGTTCAGATTGTTCATGATACGACACGATGTCAAATGTCATGGTTATGAGCATTATCTCAATACCAGTGTTCCCATCATTCTCTATGTTATATGTATGTATGTTCGTTGAACTTCTTTCACACTGTACATAGCCAAGCGTACTAATCGGAGGTGTGGGGGAAGGATAACAAACTAAACGCAAAAAAGCAATTATCAAGAAATTCGTTTTCAATCTAAATTATTGAAAAGTGCATAGCTTCAGTGGCTTCTTCATATCGGTAGGAAGAGCATTCCAGACGGCCGCAGAAAGGCACCTGAAAGCACGCGGTGTGGTGACCGTCTTAAATGTATTAAATGTATTAAATGTATTTTAACATGCTTATTGTATTGCTTTTGTGCTTTGCTGTGCTTGTAGTGTGAATCAAGGTTGCAGTACAATTTCGTAAAACCCAGGTCACTAAGCATAACCGTGCCATATGTTTTCTAATAATAGCAAATATTAAAATCCACATCGCTCATTATTGTGCATGCCGTCAGTTACACGAGATAACGTTCGTTAAAATTCCAGTCGCTATGAAATTGACGCCACTGTTAAATTTCAGCGCTGTCAATTATACCGAAAAACATTTAGCCATGCTCAATTTAATGGATGATTGGCAATTAGCTACCCGTTTCCTCGATGATAGGCGGAACACATTTTAATTGAATATAGAGAATGAAGGTTGATTCATTGAATTAATCACAATTCTACGATATTATTCGCATCCACGTATCTTCCTCGATCCGGTCACCTTTGTCAATAATGTAATAACACAATTAACGGAAGTTCTCCTTGCTTGGCTTTTGCAGCAGAGATGTCTAAGCCAGTCTGACAGTTACCACTTCGTTATCCAATTACTGCTGTGACAATGCACAGATTCGTCTGTCCTTGGTTTAATGCAGTCGTCCAAGTCCAGATTACCTGTGCAATGTAACAACGGAAGATGCTGGCTCCCTCTGGCCTGGCCTGCGTAATCGCACTGTCGTACGTGACCTTTCCCCAGCACTTTTTCCGGTGATTTATTGCAACGTAAAAAAACACAGTTGGGTGAACGTGACCGAAACCGTGCTCATTGCTAACAGCCTCGAAGCACTGTACCTTCATGAATTTATGAATAAGCTTTAACCCCAACTTCAATTTCACAAATGGTGATGTGGCACAATTGCACATTGTCCCCTGCTGCACTAAACTACTGTTGTATATATATTTTATATGTGTGTGTATATATATAAAATATGAACAGGGCTTTTCAATGCATAATTACACACATACGAACGGCTGTTACTGGTAGGAACCTCCTGGTTACACCAGCCCACAGGGGATTATTGTGTCCGTCCGTCGTGCAGGGGAGGGTGGGGAGGGGCTGGGTGGGGAGGGTGGGGAGGGGCTGGGTGGGGAGGGTGGGGAGGGTGGGGCTGGGTGGGGAGGGTGGGGAGGGGCTGGGTGGGGAGGGTGGGGCTGGGTGGGGGTGGGAGGGGTGGGGCTGGGTGGGGAGGGGCTGGTCACCCCGTGGTGCCCTTATAAAACTCAACGTTTAAATAACTCACGCCGGCTTGTGCCCGCCCTCACAGTCGGGCATATTTGCGGAATACACCACGCTGCCGTTGACCCTGGTCATTGACCGAGCAACCCAACGTTCCTACCAGCTCCCTCCGCAGGAATGTGTTTTGTCAATCCACTGTTGGATGAGGGCCTCCCCGCGCCATGTGGGTCACGGGGGATGATTTGATCTTTTCCCACGCTGGTCGGTCAGGATTGGTCAAGGTGTACGTATGTACGTTGAACTTATTTCGCACCGTACGTAGACAACCGACGTCTCGGAAGAGGCTGAAAATTCACTTCAGCCCATGGTATAGCTTCACACTCTTATATCCAATAATGCATGAGACTCGCAGTAACCTCCGCATGATAATAACATGAATTGTTTACAACCCTCTGTAAATCCACCGCTTGATAAAAAAAAAAAACCTGGCCAACCATTTTTGGGTCATGGGTATTGTTGAAACGTACTTTTCCCCGTTGGAGGTGGGGGAGGGAGCGATTCAAATATCACTGCACCTCCGATTAGCACGGTTGGCTACGTACAGTTCGAAAAAAGTTCAACGCTGATGTTGGCCATGGGCAGAAATCGTCGTCCGGTTGGCCGGGTTTAGAACCCCAGTGCACTTGGAACTGCACCTCGCCACCACTGGAGCGAAGCTATTTTGAGCCGAGACTAAAATGTCTCTTCCCCCCCCCCCAAAAAAAAAATATTTACATAATTTCAGGAAAGTGCTTTTCTCTTTTGGTCGTCACCGAAGAGCTATCGTCGTACATAATTTATACACGATGAATAATTGACTCAACTAAGCTGTCATGTAGAGCATTTATATTTCAGTGTGCTTTGCGGGAATAGCATGGTCTGACATACGAGCGAGCACCTTGTGGTGATTTTTTTTACGAGTGTTCGTGGCAGCAAAAAATGTCAGCATAATTCAATAAGCCAAGTTTATGGCGTATGTGCAAGAGGGCTTGTGGCTTATACGCAGGAGACTGCTGAGTTGCAGGAAAATAACGATTTACCCCCCCCCCCCCCCCATAGCAATGCAGCCAATTGTTACGATTCGATGGCCGTGATCTTGGGTAACAATTCAATTTGAGAATCATATATGTTTTAGCACGGTTGGCTACGTAGGGTGCGAAAGACGTTCAACATGCATACAGGTCCATAATCAACGTTTTTGGGTTTAGCCTACGTGTTAAATGCATACAGGTACATGTGGTTGGCAACAACCACATGATGGTTGACCTCACGGTATTTATTACAGGGACAGCTGTCCCTGGTGGATGGAGGGGGGGGGGGGGGGTGCCCTGGGCGGACAGCAGCAAGGGGGCAATTGGTAAGGTTGAGAGTTAGGATGTGATGTTAAGGTGCTTCGAGTGGCTGAGACAATCAGGCGAAGCGTACGTCTGTTATCCTGGATGCCTTCGAGGAAGGATCGGTGTAAATTCATCGCTCGACCGCCGATCGCCTCGCCGACTCTACCGTGCAGTGCGTGCTTGATTGCTCACTGTGGCCGGTGGGAATCCAGTTCATGACGAACCACCAGATGTTCAGCATGGTCGCGTGGTGGTAGACGTGCAGCACGCTGACCTGGCTGAATTTCTTGCGCAGCACGAAGAACACCGTGTCCATCAGCTCAATGGACTTGGAGAAGTAGTACCACCACAGGACACGAGCCACCTGCGGGAAAGCGACGGAAGAGTCCGGGCGTTCCTTTTGTGAAAACGGTTGCGCCTTCGGGCGTTCGTGCGTTCCGAGGTGGGGCGGAGCGCTCGGTCGTTATCGCGCCGCACTCGACAGAATTCAATGTAAAGTGGTCGGGTTGATTGATAACCCACGCCGGTCACCCGCTCACCGACCATACAGGGAAAGTTTCTAATTAGGAGACGTTTTGGGCAATGGCCCTTTTTCATGGCACTGTATTAACCAGGGTGGCCGTGGGGCTCGAACATGGAACCTCTGCAACAAGAGGCTAATGCTCTATCGGTCCGTCAACTGGGGGAAAGGAAGGACGGAAAAAAAACGTATAACACCGTTGCCTCACTTGGAGCAAAACTTAGCAAGACCCTCCTGAAAATGGCCTTGAGATCAGGTGAGGCTTTCCCGGGTAAAAAAAAAAACATGTATATATTTTTATTAAAGTAAAAAAAGTTAATGTTTACCTTCACGTCCACGTCACCACTGCTGCGGGTGTTTTGGCATTTGAGGCTGTAGTTTCCCTGCCACGCTCCCACACACAGCTGTGAAGAGAGATAAGGTGTTGCGTGTGACAGTGGCAATCGTCAGTGGCGCGATGTTTAATGTGCTCATAAAAATTACATCACGTTACTCAACAGCGGGCGGTGGCTTTGGTGAGAACTTCATCCAGCAGTGGATTGACCATGGCTGCTGACAGTTGCATGCAAGAGGACCATTCTGCAGTGACAAACCGTCCCACCTGATGACGATTGCTTGTGTTGAAATCGAAACGTCGTGATCTATTATTTTTCTACCTACATGACTTTACCGAAAGAACCAAAGAGTATGGATTCCTGCAGTCGCCGAAAGCTTCAAATCAAGATCTGCCCCCTTCATGCCAGCATGGTGCAGTATGGCAAACAATACTCAATGACCAACAATGCCACGGGGAGGGCCTACATTGACCATTGGATTGACAAAGGGCTGATTATTATTGATATTTGTTTTATTTAATTATTATTACTGTGCTACCCACATCCTGACCATTTTACAAGATGCAAAGTTCGACTGTTGAGTTTAAATGCCACAAGCTGCAGCGATTGCTACCACGTTTCCCACGGCGGACATTTGGTGGTGCTAAACATTTAGCCGGTGAGTAATGTTACGTAAAGGTCACGCACGGGTGACACACATAACTAATTGTGCTCCACGCGAGACTCGTGTGAATGTACTTATGTACCTCAATGGTTCAGTGTACACGTGTAGAATTATTTAAATAGTTTATTCGAAGTATCTTGAGCAGACGGTTGAAGTGAGATGTCTTGTCAACAATGTGCCGCAACATGGACCCAGCGCTCCATTTCTAACTCATCTGTGACCTTCAATATTTTTAAATTGTCATCAAATGTGTTTAAAAAAAATTTAAATACAATTATTTTCGCCTTTTTTCATAGTTTTGTCCCGATTCTGCTTTCGACGTCACGAGACGAAGAATCCATTTAAAATTTCACAGAGCGTCGCAGAATGTAGATTTGAAGTTTTCGATAAAGTCACGTAGGTATAAAATAAATTACCCTTTTGCCCACTTCAGCAATTGTTTTCTTGCTGTGGTTGTCCCACCTGATGAGGGGCACTTGTGTTGCGCCCGAAACATCGTGATTTTATTTATTTTATTTTATACCTACGTGACTTTATCGAAAGAACCAAAGAGTACGTTGCAGAATGGTCCATAGAAGCGGACATCACAGAACTACTTCTGAGTTCGCTAAGAGGCTTCTTGTCCACACCTTGGTGGCAGTGCCTTTCTCCTGCTGTTATGGAGTGACTCATGCAGCCAGCTATGGCTGCAAAGTTTGGTCGTGCATGTTATGTATATCGTTTATTGTTAAATTTGAATCACAGTTCCTATGATCACTGTTACATTGTTTTTATAGCTTTATTTTGGTGATTTTGAAAACGTTTTGGTTTAGCCATGTTTGTTTGTTGTAGTACAGAGTTAGCCTGATAACTTTAATCTACATTGTCTTATGGTTGTTATTGTTTGACTTGCATCCCACTGAGATTTTTGCACACAGCGTTGAAATACGGTGTTTTTGCTGGAAGACTTTGCTGTTTTTTCCTGGATTTTTCTGTTGCGTGTTGTCACTTAAGGTTGTTTCTTGTTCATGTTTTTGTTTTGTTGCGGTTGCACCCGAGTCAAGAGCCGCATGGCTCACAGGGCTATACCGAATAAATGAAACTGCAAAACTGAAACTGAACCTTTGCCCCACTGCAGAGCAACGTTAGTCGCAAAACAATCAAACGGATAATTTCAATTCTCAGGGCAACCTTTTTTGCCGTTGCCGAAATTAAGTTGAACGACACCTTTAACATGATTGCTTATGTGTCCAGCCATTGGTGATTCGGATGAGCCCATGAACTCGCTGCACTGCGGTAGCTGGTTTCATCACGGGCGGTGGTCTGTATTTGAAAGCGGGTTTCTTCGCGGTACCAGCTCAGTGACATGACCTCTGAACCACCTGGCCACTTTTTCTGCTGTTTTTTCCTGGATTTTTCTGTTTGCACATAGTCATTTTGAGATGTTTTCTTGTTCATGTTTTAGTTTTTTGTTTGTTGTGGTTGCACCCAATTTAAGAGCCGAATGGCTCACAGGGCTTTACAAAATAAATGAAACTGAAATAAAACTGAATGTCAACTTTTCCGATTTAAAGCTTTCGTGACTGCAGGGATTCATCTTCTTGGTTCTTTCGGTAAAGTCACGTAGAATGGAAATAATAAAATAATAAAAATAAAACAATAAAACAACGCAAGTAGCCGTCCTCAGGTGGATAACAGGTCTGTCGAGGAGACAGAGACATTCAGACTCTGTCTCCTCGACAGACCTGTTCTCCACCTGAGGACGGCTACTTGCGTTGTGGCCGAAACGTCGTGAGAATTATTTTATTATGTTTTATTTTTATTATTTTATTATTTCCATTTTACGTGACTTTACCGAAAGAACCAAGAAGATGAATGTGAACTTGTTTGAACCTTGCAAAAAATAAAAACCCAGCCCAAACTCTGAATGGACAGTTTATGAACGGCGTTAAAACGGAGGTGTACTCGTGTCGCGAGTCTCTAATGTGCCGGTGCGAATAGAAAACCCAGATATCTCCTGACACGCAATAATAAATCACGGGAAGTATTACGTGTCTTACGGGGGCGTGCAATTAGATGAGATGGAGACAGCTTGGAGACGTTAGGTCACGCAAGGGAAATGAGCTGAAGGTCGCTTTGAGACTAGATGACTGGATGATGAAGTAAAGGAGATTACTCGGGGGGAATTATATATTTTTTTCAACATTCAAAGAGGAGGAATGCCTCAACTTTGAGAACTGCAAACAACTAAATCTGGCAGAGGAATCGATTGAGGTCGACAAAAGTTTTCAGATAACTGGTGAACAAAAATCATAATCGATATCAATTGATGAACCAATGCCGTTTTCCCACCAATGTTCAACAAAAGCTGAAAGCATGAGCATGTAAAAAATTAAATACGAGTAAAAAAAGAATATAGATCCAGCCAGTAGTACACCATATTTTTTGGCAGCAGTGATGTTCAAGCCTAACCAAGTGGCCCTTTTCTACCCAAGACAAAATTTAAACGGCGTAAAAACAAAGAGGGCATTGTGAATCCCTTATGAGAACTACAAGAACCTCGTGTGTGTGTGTGTATGTGTCTTTGTGTGCTTGTGTCCCTGACTCGCTGAAAGGAAGAGCCCGGTCACGCCATTCGCTGCTTCTGATAGCGCACAAAGAGTCCTGGAGTGTTGGGACGCGGCCCATGGCTTCGGGGTGGGGGCCTCTCATTAACATTCAGATGGGGTGGCACCGTTGCGTTGCCCGACGCGTAACTGGGAGACCGCCGTTTTACACACACACACACACACAACCCTACAATCTCCCTCTCTCTCTCTCAAGATGGTTCTCTTAATCAGCCTTGTGCCGGGTGGATAATTACGAGTATAGCACGGCGCTGGGGTTTTGATTGCTGCGTGGCCACCACCACCACCACCCACCCACCACGGGAAATGTTTGTGGGAGAGTTACGGTGAAAGTTCAAGTTTACGTTTGTTCCACCAGGTGAGTCCAAGATGAGACTCGTTTGCGTAAAGTGACCCTGGGTTGTGATGGTAACCTGCGGTTGTATTGCTCACGCCTCTGCTGGCAGGAGGGCCTGCACCAGCATGGCTCTAGAGAGTCCCTCCCCCTTCGAGGGTGTTTGGCCTACTCTTCCACTCAGACGTCTTGGGAGGGGGTGGGAGTACCCACACTTTACACCGCCACACGTTACTTGCCGATCGTCTGTACGGTGTGTACGTTGAACTTTTTTCGCAACGTACGTAGCCAAATGTACTAATTGGAGCTGCGGGGATGGACAACAAACTAAACACAAAAAGCATTAAAAAAAAAGAGTTTTCAATCTAGATTTAAATGTGCTTGACTGTGGTGTACCCATTTACTGTTTACTGCTGGGTGGACATAGTTGGAGGGATTCATGAATAAAGTGCCATTGTTTAAACTGCCGTGCCGGAAAATTGAACCAATGACCTCTAGAATGCAAGTCGAGTGTGCTGACCATTGCACAGTGTGCTGTTACCGGACGAATACATGATGAGGTCGGACTCGTTACACACAAAGTGCTTGCCACAAATGAACCACAATACCTTGCTGAGCTCGTCAAAGGGCATCAACCATCACGCGAACTCCGGTCATCCTCGCGGTGGCTTTTGACGAGCCATCGCGTGCTTTCAGATGCGCTTCTGCGTCCGTCTGGAACGCACCTCCTTCCGATATTAGGAAGTCAGTGGAGCCATGCACTGTTAAATTTAGATCAAAAACTAATTTTTTTTTTAGAAGAGCTTGTTGTGTTTAGTTTGTTGTCCTTCCCCCGCACCTCCGTTTGGCAGGTGTTGTTGTTGAACTTCTTTCGCACCGTACGTGGCCAACCGTGCAAATCGGAGGCGGTGGGGGAAGAACATCAAACTCAGCACAATAGGCAATTCTAAAGAAATGAGTTTTCCCATCTAGATTTAAAAGTGCATAGCTCCCAGTGGCTTTCTAATATCGTAAGCAAGAGCGTTCCAGACGGCCGCACAAGCGCATCTGAAAGCGCACGATGCGGTGACCGTCTTTGTTCGATGGTCAGCCAAAAGCCACTGCGAGGATTACTGGAGTTTTCGTGGTGGTTCATGCTCCTTGATGAGACCAGAAAAGTGAACGCCACCTTCTAGGGAAGTCAGCAGTGGTTGTCCGATGTAAAGCATCAACCGCCCTTCCAAGGGAATGTGGAATGGCGGCTCAGGGTTGCAAACAGGAATTCATTACCGACCCATACTCATTTGAGTGAGAGAACGCCTTGAGTTTTAAAGCAAGTAATCTACCATTAATCCTGCTGTTGTTTGACTCGATAAAATTACTTTACAGATCCAGCATATTCTCGTGAATATGAGAACAAGCACAAGCACAAACAACCGAAACTCAACGCACACATTTATAATGATGAAATAAGTATTCGTCAATAACATCGAACCTAAAGGAAAAGTAATAATACATACTGTGACTCTTCTGGCAATTTCCCTTCTTTCATAGCAGACAGCAGCGAGATGTCTCTGCGTTGAATGCGCGCTGTTGTTCAGAAGCATCAAGGTCGTCTAATTTAGGGCAGCGTTACCGATCAGTGTGCCGACTTTAGGGAGCGATGCTGGGTAGCTAACTGTGCAAATGTGACACTGCGTGACTTTCACTTGACTTGCAATTGCTATATATACACACACACACACTGCAGATACTGTGACTTTCGCTGAGAAAATGCTGGTCTCTGCAGGCCCATTAAGCACAGGCAGTGAAATCAATTCCGACACTCGCAGGCAGCAGTGCTTGTGCCTAATGACCAATTCCCACGGCCACGCCTGATCAGAAGCCTGGGTGTTCCTACGGGATAGGAAAACTCCGTACCCCAAGCAATTATAACACCACGAGGTTTTTCTCTTTGACGTTTTGCCACCCTCCCCCCCACCCCCATGGTAATATTCCCTTGAATGTCGAGTCGTAAAACAAGAAATGCTTTCCATTGGGAACTCCTGCAGCGAGCGGTGCATTGTACCCCGGAGTGTGAATGAAAAAAATAAATCTTCACGGTTGCATTTGCTACCATCACCGCTGGCTCCTTGCAGGGGTGGGCGGGGGGGAGGTGTGGATGGGTGGTGGGGGGCTGGCTCGCGCACGCGCGCACCTGCACGCACGCGCGCACCTGCACGCACGCGCGCACCTGCACGCACGCGCGCACCTGCACGCACGCGCGCACCTGCACGCACGCGCGCACCTGCACGCACGCGCGCACCTGCACGCACGCGCGCACCTGCACGCACGCGCGCACCTGCACGCACGCGCGCACCTGCACGCACGCGCGCACCTGCACGCACGCGCGCACCTGCACGCACGCGCGCACCTGCACGCACGCGCGCACCTGCACGCACGCGCGCACCTGCACGCACGCGCGCACCTGCACGCACGCGCGCACCTGCACGCACGCGCGCACCTGCACGCACGCGCGCACCTGCACGCACGCGCGCACCTGCACGCACGCGCGCACCTGCACGCACGCACGCACCTGCACGCACGCACGCACCTG